CGCGCGATAACGCGCGCGGATGAGTCACGAATTAATGAGAGCGAACCGATACGCGAGTTTTAAGCAGACAGCAGGAAAGATCGATCCGTACGCATTTGACATACATTTATTGTTATTCTTGTTTTCTCTCTTGTCGAGTTTTTGCACAACCCATCTTAATTTCGCGCGATATTGCGAAACGGATAAGAAAATCCGCGTCGCCGGTTTCCTCGCGAAAATAAAAGACAATCTTCTTCTTCGTGTCTTTTTTTTCCTTCCGTCGCACTTCTGCTGATCCCCGCGGCTGCTATTACACAGTCGTTTAAAATTTTCTTTGTTGCATTCTCACCCGTAATTACGTTATGTAAGCTCGTACAACTCGAAGAATTTCGCGCAGCTGGCAATTGCCGCGACACAACTGTAAATACAGAAATAATTGTAAAATAAATGCAAACAATGTTTTGCAAATCAGAGCGAAGATTCTCTCTTTCTCTAAGTTTTTTCTCTCTATCGCTTGCTCGCTCACATAGTGGCGAAAGTGTTGTCCTGTTGTTTCTTTTTCACGGAATCGTGAACAATACATGTATTACAAATAACAAGCAGTGTTATCATCTCGTCCTCTGATAACTCTTATCTCGTTTATCTTACCGATTGTTATTAATGCACGATATGAACGTGTTCTTAGAACGTGTTTTTCTTTGGGAATCACATGTGCAGACGCAAAACACACGACGGTAACCTTCGAGCGAAGCTTGATGAAGAAAACGGCGTCTATCAACCGGCAGTTCGCGCTTTCGCTCGCGAGAAGTTAATTAGCATTTAATTTTAGTGCACGGCGGTTGTGCACGTGTGCCGTAACCCATCACCGGAAACGGCTCACCGGGTGAGCACGCGCGCTTTTTTTTTGGTACGGCCCTTCTGTGCACAGTTCTCTTCACGGACTATGTAACGGTCGATTTCCCTTCACGCGCGATTCATTCGAACACGTCGCGCGCATTTAATCGCTCGCATGTGCGAAGATATCACAGGAGCTCGCGCGGCTCCTCAAACACTCGCTTCGCACACATCCGCGATTTAATCCTCTTCACGAAAAATAAATTCCGATGTGTGTTGCGAAGCAAATTGCTTGTCACACGTCGCATTCGCAAGAGAATAAAAAAAAGAAATATGATTTTATTCGCAAATTACTTGTCGCGCGCATCGCGCGTTTATGAATTCTATTTTTTTTATATGAGAGATATACCGATAAAAAAAAGAAATATGATTTCTCTCTTCGATTTATCGTCAAATCGAGTTTCTCTCTGTTTTTCTGCGATTGATTTTGTTGCCGACGTATTTTCGATCGAGACCTGCAACCTCGCGATTAGCCGACTCGAAATGAGATTTCGAAAAAAAAAAAAAAAAAAAAACTGGTCGTACCGGATTAACGCGACAACGAAACGAGATATCGCCGGGATATTTCATCAACTCTCTCGATTCGGCTCCCGACTTTACGCGCACAGGTGTGTGTGTGTGTGTGTGTATTTGAAACATTCTTGTTCCTCCTCTTTTCCTCCGCCCGCCCCGTTATTGTGCAATCGCCGTCACATTTTAACGAAGTAACCTGCGAGTCTTAATCTTTTTCAGCGGTCTCGATTTCCTTTCTCCGGTTGTATGTATCTTTTAACGAAACCCCGCCGAGTGTTGTGTATTTATTCAAAACATAAAACGTCTGTTTTAAAAACGCTTCCGTCCGACGTTTCTGCGAGGCGGATGTTTACGAGTCGAAATTGCTTACGACGAAATAAAAAATTTACTTTCGCGTTTATGTTCACATTTGCCGTAAAGACCGTGAGCTTTTCTTTTCGTCCTCTTCGCGTTCAGATTTCCTAATGTTACTAATAATAATAATAATAACAACGCATCAATAGTACTTTGCTGATAAAAGCGGCTTCCTCCCGTGTGTTACGTTTGCGCGTCCGTAGTTCCGTTCTTGGACTCCAATCTTTCCGAATGTTGAAAACGAAATACGTTTTCTCTTTCAAAAGAATTTCTCAGAATTTGCACGAATGCCGCGTGCTTAGGAGAAATAGCCTTTTGAATTACAGATATCGAACGATATCTTCGTCAATATCTGATGCATTGATGATTAATATTTGGAAATAGAAGGATTATGCGCAAATGTAGATAAGAAGAGAGAGAGATAATCTTTTATTACTTCCCGGGAAAGAAGTTCTTCGTATGCGGACAATTCCACAAATTCTATCTCATATCTGGGGCGATCGTTTTGATTTCGCAAAGGATTTTGATCGTATGGATGTGTAGAATTTGTCCGTGTGTGTGAAAATTCGCGGAATCGCTCCTCTGGAAAGAAGATCCCTGCGATAACAGTCAGCGCGCAATATTTCGCGTGTACGCAATGCACGTCGAACGTCGATATCTACTGAATTTTTTTCCCGATTGGGAGTCTCGATCGTTCTCCAGCAGCTGTTCGCCTTGACGATAGGCACGTGCGCGTATGTGCGAGAAGCGATTACGCGAAATGGTATAATGATGTCAGTCACAGATGATGCAAGGCGAGGGAGTTCACGGCCGATACATATAAGCCGTGTGCATATTCTTTATTAATCTCGAATTTTGTGTCTCATCTCCCGACGGGAGCAAACCCTGCGGTTTATTAATAGATGACATCACACCGACTAAGCACAACGCAACACGTTTCTACTTGGCGCGTCTTGCGCGTTTTTCTCGTTGTTCTTCTAATTTTTTTCTCCAACGCGTACGACGGGCGGCAAAACAGGTTCGCGCGACGCGTCCGTCTGTGCAAATATAATAATTAGCTTCTGTCGTGCAGCCGTCGCGAGAAAGGATGTCGTATAAATTCTGCCGCAAGCGGTATTATTCTCGGCGATTCACGTGCAAGGTGAGGCTAAACATAGCCGCGTTGGATTCGAAGGTTGAAGAATCCGACGATCGATTTGTCTGCGGGAGTGATTTAGAGCGCGAGTTTTATGCGATTATCGTTCGCGTCTTTTATATATTCCTTCGCGTACAATCTTTCAAGGTGCGTTCAGAGTTCTCAGGGACGGAAAATGTTATCTAGACGCGTCAGCTGAGAAACAATTCGCATTGTTGTCAGCTGTTGTGAGTTAACACGTGTCGTTTGGGGGCACGTGTTATCAATGATATTGCGCAGATCCAAACACAGTGGATCTTTTGCGTTGTCTTCTTCTTGCCAAAGTGTGCGATATATATAAAATAATCTCCGGTTGACAAATATGTATATTTATGGGACGATCGCTTCTCCCGTTTACACGCTCGGCTTTTGTACATACGGACACCGTGTATTGCAAAACCGCAAATGACACACTATCCCGACAGCCTTGAAACAGCCTTGCCCACGGCTAATGCAGTTACATTCGCGTTTCTTCATATCGGGTGTCGAGGGTGAGAGTAATGATTAAGGAGAACGTGCTGGATCTTTCTCTTTCTCTCTGCTGAAATAGTTGACGCGTTACGCCTCGTACGGATCTGACGTAATTTGTAATTTTAGTTCTGTCAAATATGTAAATTAATTTCATTGAAATAAATAATTTATTTCAATTGAAATAATCGATCGCACATAAAAACATAAAAACACACGAATTGCGTCCCATTTGATCGCCCAAAAAAGAAGTAAAACGAAGCGTTTGTTTTTTTGCGCTACGCGACGAAGACGCAATGGAGATTTTTTTCCCAGCGTCTTCTTCTTTGAACACGTCTTGTTGCGGCGAGTGATCTCATCTGAAATTTCACGACACGTGGCATTTGGATTTGAGATCAATCAAAAGAGAAAAAAGAAACTCGCTAACGTCTGATTTTAACGCGGCACGTCAGATTTTCTCCTTTTTAGAGCCGAGTCCGCCGGTCGCCAAGCGCTGACATATTTGGAACAGCGAAACGACTCGTTCAAACTGGCAAAGACCGAACCCCACGGTGCAGTGGCGATCTTTCATTTCGTATTGCTGATTTCGTTCCGTTTTCCAGAGATCGCTTCGTTTTTCTTCTTCGTTATTCTTCTTACATTCGCTTACGCCGAATACCACCAGGGTAGTCGACGTTTTATTTCCTCTCTTTCTCTCTCTCTCTATTCCTTTCAATTTATTATCTAATTTCATTCAAAAGTCCGGATGATGTGAATAGCTTCAATATTTATTTAAAAAATAAATATAAATAAAAGACACGCTGTGTGTGAAAATATCCACCACGTTTCACCGAGCGTTGCAAATTCCATTTGTGAAACACAATAAATGTTTTAACACACAATCGTCCGTGTTTGGAGCCTTTGTGTGTATTTATTTTTTAATTTAAAAATTCATGACTTGTCGAGTAACACACACACACACACACCGTAAGAGCTGAAAATCCGATTTCGATGCACCTACATGTTCATTTGTCGGCTACAGGTGAGCATGCGAATACGGCAAAAATGCGTGTTCTCTCCCTCTATCTAAATAGACACGAAATCTGCGCAGTATTTTTTTTATGTACGCGGAAACCCGTTAAAGTCTGCTGAACAATATCCGACTAATAGGAATCAGCGAGCGTAATGGGGTGGCCGACCTGTTGACACCCGACGTAACACCGCGCGTATATCCGCGCCTTAGGTAGGATCAAATTACGCGGCTGAAATTAAATATCCGCTCGAATCGGCTCTCTCAACGAATCGTTCGTTTTCAGCTTGGCGTTCCTTCCTCCCTCTCTGGCGCCGCGCTACTTCTCGATAAACGAAATCCGATGATGCGTGTGTGCGTATATAGATAGATATAGCCAAATATAATTAACCCACATACAAGCGATGATAAACCGTGTCTTATTCTGAAGATTCGCTGCTACGTTTGCGCAATACACATCGCACTTGAAACAATATTCGGAATAAGAATTACTATCTTCAACTTGGTAGATAAAATATAATTAATTCGCTCGTGGTAGAACCATGAAAAAATATACAGCAAATATTTAAATCTTTCTTTCACACTAAACGATTTCCTTCGTCTTTGCAGAGAGGAGGTGCAGGAGCACACAGTGAGATGGAACGCAAAGTTCGAGTTTTTATGCAAGATGAGCGCCAACGCGTCCACAGGCGTGCTTGATCCGTGCATTTTGAGGATATCCGTGAGGAAGGTGAGAGCGCAAGCTTGCTTTCTGTTAGAACATGAATAAATGAAAAGACCTGAGACTCTTGTAATGAGAGAAATGAGACGCTTTTTTCTCTAGGTTTGTTTTTAACCACATTTTAGTTTTTTTTCTTTGTTTATTCTCTTCTTCTCTTTCTCTCTTTCTCACTTACGTAGTAAGAAGCAATAAAACTATTAAACGCATTTTTATTGTTTGTATGATATGTAAAACGTAAATTGTAAGGCAAATGATATTAATTGGGAATTTTTATTTTTACGTCGCAGGAATTAAAAGGAGGTAGATCTTTTCAAAAACTAGGCTTTACCGACCTGAATCTAGCCGAATTCGCAGGAGCTGGCCTCTGTCGAAGAAGATGTCTTCTGGAAGGTTACGACGCGCGACATCGTCAGGATAACTCGATGCTGCGTGTAGCCATCAAAATGAACATGCTCTCCGGAGATATCTTGTTTAAAGTGTAAGTGTTCAAGCAAGAGAGATAGTTGTCGCAATGAAAAATAAAAAACGAATCTTCGGTCGTGTCGTTGATTTTAACTAGTTTTTTGTTTCGAGTCTTTTGATCCACAAACTCGATTGCAGCCCCTCCCCGTCGCTGAAACAAACGCAATTGGCAGTGCCCGGAGTGCAAGGTGTACCTGGCGTTACCGGCGACGAAGTGACAACATCCGAGAGATGCACCAATCGAGAGGATTACGTGTCCACTGGTTCGCTGGCGGGAAGTATAGCTAGCGCCAGCAGCGGCTTCGGAAGTCTTCCCAAAAAGAGGCCCGCGCTCTTTAGCCCTGGTAAGATTTTTTCCTGAAGAGATCTCGCGGTTCGAGTTTATTTTATTCTACACAAAAAAAGAAAAATGATCGTGATCTAAGTGACGAAGAACAAGAAAAACATTACGGAGAAAAAGTTTTAATTATTTTTTTTGTGTGTAACTTCTTCTAGATCTTATTGGCGCGACCGAAACCGACCCGATGACTCTCAGCGAGATCGTACCTTCGGCAGTTCCGGTGGAAGCTCTGGTAGAAGCGCACACAGAGTCGGGACACTCGCGCAACAGCAGCAACACCAGTCAACTTAGCAAAGGATCCGGCTACGGTTCCTTGAATTCACACAGCCAGCACAGCAGACAGAGCAGTAGTGGTGACAGTGGTCATATTAGGTAAGATTCCGTTTTGTTATTTTACTCCACGTACGAAATCTACGAAAAAACCATCATAAAATCTTCCGTGTTACTTGAACTTACAAAATAAACGTCAATTTTTTTCAACATTTGAATTGCAAGAAAAATATTTCTACCTAAATGTGTTGAGTGCACAATTAACACAAGGCTGTTGTCCAGAGTCCTCTTCATTCTAATAAATGTAAACTAACTTTACTATCTCTCGTAGTTGATATCTAATTACATGTAATTAAAACGCGACGTTATGTTTTACCATTTTAAGTCAGACAGTCAGAAAAACACGCTATCGATATACCTCTGTTGTATATATCACGTTTCTTTTTCTAAACAAAAACATCTACGTGTCATATTCCAGTACTTCTAGTATCCAGTTTTAATTATTTAGAGAGAGTTTTATATTAAAGCTATTTTATATACGTAAATTTATACGTTGTACGCAATATTCTCTTTTATTTGTTGCATAATGCGAAATAGTTCTTCTTAGCTTTATTTCAAGTATAACTCATACCTGTTAAATAATTTCGAATTGCGCAACTTGTTTAACTTAGGAAAACAAAATTATATTATAATTAGTATTTTTAACTACATTTTGTGTGAACTAATACGCGATATGCAAATCGATGAAATTTGCTTGTCTGAAAGATACATAGACTAACTAACTTGAACACACATTACGCTTGAACTAACATGTCGAATATTAATATCTGTTGGCAAATGTGCTAAATCACTAACACGCGAATGAGTAACCTCCGAGGAAACCTGCTGTTTTTGCTCCAGTCTCAAGCGATCTCTTCATTCTCGGTCTCTCGACCATAACTATGAGACTCTGGACTTTCTATCTTTTTATTTTACGTATGTCTCTCTCTCTCTTTCTCTCTTTTTTTCTTTATCTAATTTTATGTTTTTATGTATATGAGTTTATGATTTTTGCATGTACATTTGTGTTGTGGTCTTTATAGGTCACCTTCTTGGCCGGTATGGGCACCACGAATTCCCAATTCCTCTCAAAACTCCGCACAACCGATTGCCTGTCGACACGACATCTTTATTGAACCTCCGTTGTCACACCCGTCTTCCTTGTCGCACGTAGCTTCCAGAACTCGATTCTGGTCAACGTCGAGTCCTCTTTCTTCGCGTAGCGTTCCGACGTACGCTAAAGATTCGACCGGCATTGTGAAAAACATTTATTCAGCCGGAAATGGTTTATTGAACAACAACAGTTCAAATAATGGCTATAACGACACAGAGACCAACATTATAACTCCCGGTATCTTCAGGATACCCGATGTACCGCAACACTCGCGCAAGAATGACAACTTCGAGATGCGCAACGAACGTAATGCGATAATAGGCGCGAACACCAAGGAAAGTAACGGGCAGCAGAGTAATGTTTTCCCGGTCGCGAAGCCGAGAATTAGCGCATTGAGTTGGCGCGGTATGTCGAAAACGTGCGACTGCATTGAGAAAGGCAAAACGAGTCCGGTCTTGAAACTGGTCGATCAGGCCAGAGCTGTGTCCTCTCCCGATCCTCTCCATAGGCCCGACAATCAAAGAACCTCGCTACGTCCTGCGACAACAGCTCAAACCTTCAGGTAGGTTTTATGTATTAGCGCGAATCTCAGGGAATTTTATTTATTTATTTATTTTTTTGCGAGGAGACCATCTCGGAAGCGTCTTTCTCTCTTTCTCTTCTTTTCTTTTGTCGTTTCTTCGACGCGTCTTTTGATTTAAACTCGCAAATTTTCTGTTGTTGTTTTTTTTTTTTTTTTTTTCAAACAACGGAGAACTACATGTGTATATTTCTTTTGTCATAAATATTTTCGAAAAAGTATTTTATGAGCAACGAGTGTGCTTTATCCTGTCGTTATTTGAAGAGGAGATGTTTGTCTCGCTTACCCTTAATAGTTAAAGACGTTAAGGATTGTGTGTCCGGCATACTAGAGTACTTGGAAATTTTATCCTGACGAGCAGCAGAGATGTTCAAAAGTACACAATTTCTCTGGTCTTTTCCTCCCTTTGTGTGTGTACAACACTTTCTTTTTATCTCATAAAAGCTGTACACGTGTATATTTTACTTCAACTACTAATCTTATCCTATAAGCTTTTATCCTATACCTATACGCTATTTAATGTTTTATTTTGTTTGTTTTTTTGTTTATTTTCTTATCTTGATGTATCTTTTGGTTTAACTCATACGGAGAGTAGATCGATTACGCTTGAGGTAATGATGAACTCGATGAACAAATATTTTGCTCTAAGTGAATGTTCGCTTGTGTGCAATCAAATCGCTTTGATCTGTCGCAAAAAATTAACGAGATACATTCGACATGTTCGCAAATTATTTTTTCAATTTCATCTTAAAATTCAATATTCTAAACATAACGAAAAAGAGCAACTGGCATGAATATATTTTAACGTAAGGAAGAGGGAAGTGTGGAATCTCGATGATGGTTTTTCGATGTGTTTGACTCTTTTTTTCTCTCTCTATCTCATGGTATGTTTTTAAACTTCAATTCTCTCATTGTGAAAGTGTGATTGTGTCTATAAATGCAAATATAAAATGCGGGAAGATGGTTGTGTGCGTGTATGTGTGCTACCAATTTGGATGGCTTTATGAATCCTTACAGGGGTATTGGCGGAGGCCATCGAAAGTTACTGGATGGGGCGGGGGGCAAGCTGGCTACGGTTGCCACCAGTCCAGCAGACTCCGAAGAATCCTCGTTAGGGGTGCCGGAGGTCGCTCCACCGAGCTCGCAGCATCGAAACAGCATTACCCCACCGTCAGTCCATGCTTTCGTCTTACTACTTATCGTACTCTTTCTTCATGCACACACATATATATTTATAGACACATACGTCTGCTTTTTTTATCCGTTGTAAAAAATATATACACGGTAGGATTCCAATTAACAGTATGCAATTTATGACATAACAAGACGTTCGAGGCCAGAGGAAGAAACTGTTTATCTTCCAGGAAAAATCCCATAAAACTTGGTCGGTAAAATGAGACAGTGAGATACTAGAGTGAACTTAACAAAGTGGTTGGACGAGAATTAATAGTTTCTAAATTCTAAGTTATAGAAAGAAAATTGTATACTGCTCATTCGGGATCTGCTACATAAGTTCTTTTTTTTCTCTCTTTATGTAGCGTATTGTTTGCGGCTTGACACGCGTATGTTGTCATGGTATTTGATTTTAAACAGACACAATGATGTTTAGTTCGACGCAACGAGAAACACCGTCATTTTTCACAAGAATTACAATTTGCACGTAATTCGAAGTAATATTTACATTTGTGTAAAACATGAAATTAATATCAACTCGAAATTTTTTCATTCAAATACATTTTATCTCTTTGTGCCAAAAGTATCTTACGCGAGAGACATAGCGAATAAATAAACAGAGAGAGAGAAGGTCGCCAGATATCATTGTTTATTTTAATTATATACTATAGAGAGAATGTAATAAAGTGATTCTTCAACTGGCCAATCGAAATTTCCGAGAATGAACGACTCTCTTAACTTAATGAGACTTAAGTGCTCTCCACGTTTGTGTTACTCCATGCGAGTTGAAATTTAATTTTGTCGCATTTAAAACAAGGGAATTTACAATTCGTGGGACTAAGAGCCGATCATTGCTTGAGCGAGAAGAAAATCGACAAATCCTTACATTTACACGAGAACGATATTGGAATTTGCTTTTAAAACACTGACTCTCGTGTGGACTAATTGGATTCTCGATCGGAACAATATTAATTCGCGATTGTTCTGCAAAATTCTATGAACTTTGTCTCGTTCGCTTGATATCATGCATTTAATTCGAAATATGCTTGTGCTTGTACAGCTTACACACATATATACACACACGCATGCTTTGTGTTGCACGTATAAATGTATACATCTACTCTTCTTATGAAAATTCACTCGACTATATTTGTACGCACATACACACACAAGTGTCGTATATTCTCTAAGGTATTAAACATGATATCAATGTACATATTTATTATGAATTCTCCTTCTCTCTTTTTTTCTCTTTCTTTCTCCTTCTCCCTTCTTTTCTCTCTCGCTTTACTTGGTTTTTTTTTATTTATATATTTATTTCAAACATATCCGCAGATTTGTGTCTTCTTTCTATAAAAAAATGGATTTGCGTTCGTCTCAGTCAGCTAAGCCGTGTTTATTTCTGAATATTGAATATTTATGTTACACATTGCAGTATTTCTCCAATTTTTTCAAAGTAGTGTACACACACGCACACGATACACTTACTTGACGAATATTTATCTAAAGAAATACAGATCTGAACACATTGGCATGGAGTTTATCTTTTGAAAACTTTTTCCGTTGTTCTAAACGACGTATCGAGTTTATTCGCACAATTATAATACACACACATTTAGTGTATTGATTTAATTTTTCATGACTTTTTGATGTGAACCAAACCTGTTAATGTCGGCACTTTATGTATGTCCGTGCTCGATTTGAGAAAATTTATGGTACACAATGAAAATAAAGATAATTTATGTGTTGTTTACAGAAATCCTTCCGGCGGTTCAGGTCTAAGTGAAACTGGATCGTTAGACCGCGCTAAGGCAGCATTAGAGCGCAGAAAAAAAGCAGAAGATGGCACAGGAAATCCTATTCTCTGTAGGGTCGAAGTCACTCGACCAAATCCTGATTCTCTTATTGATGAACTTCTTAAGGCAACAAATCTAGAACAGACAGATCTTGAAAGTTCCGAGAGTACGTATATTTTGGAGTTGTATGTGTGTGTGCTTTTCTCTTTTTATATTTTATTACAACTAACAAGTTGTGGAGAGAGAAAATAACAGACATTTCTTTCTTTTAGTCAATTTTTTATGAAAATCTTTCTCTCAGGAGATTTTTCTGTAAGAAATCTTTCTTACAGTCATCGAACATGAAATGATAGTTTTCTTCAATTTCTTTACAGTTGTCTCAAAGTGTATATACGTTAATAATGATTTCTTATTGAAAATTTTAAAATTACAGTCTTGAAAATAGATATAATTCAAGTTTTTTTATAATCGGATTTTATAATCATAACAATAATATCTTGCAGCAACTGGTCTTCAACTCTTCATCGCGAAAGACGGCACGACTGCACTTGGCAGCCACGAAGTTAAAAGCCAAATGCCTGCCGGTGTGTTCAAACAAGTGGTAATGGAGGAGAATAATAGGTAACACGAAGCCATCACGACGAGACGGCAATATGCAAGACAGGCCAGCGCTACGTTTTCATTAGCTCTGGTGCCAGAGCTAGTCTACGAGGCATATGAACCGCGGTAGTTACAAGAGAGGAGCGACAACGTTGGGCGAAGAATTTCTTGACTCAGGAGGAACGGCGAAAACAAAACAAAAAACTCGCGCTCGTATCCTTCTAGATTATACAGCTAGATTATTCTAGATTACATTATTCTCTACATGTGAAAGTACACCTCGATCTGGAGGGGAAGTCATCAAACCGATGTATCCGTTTAAACGGAACGCTTGCGTCGATTACTTTACAATGACAAATCCATTTTACGGATTATTAGCAGAATCGAAATTAATTATCCTAAAAATTCCTCCTTGTAAGTGCACATATAAAACATAAGTTTAATTGTGTACAGTATTACGCGATCATTACGTATATGTTTTAATACTTTGTCGGTTCGAGGTGTAAACACGGATTTCGCATTTTTCCTTTTTTTTTCTTTTCAAGGTCTGCAGAAAAAACAATTTGCGCACAGCACTTTGCAGCACTGCTGACCTGCGACCAACGATCTGTGTAAATCGGCTGCGTACAATGCAAATGAAAGGCAATATATGTGTATAAGCGTTTGTAAAACTGATATTGAGCAAACAGACTCATGTTTTCGAAACTGACTCAACATTTTCTTCCTTTAAATATGAAGAGCACAATGATTTTCATCAAGTATGTTTTACTTGAAAAGAGCGTTAGTCAATAAAATTTAATCATAAAAAAATACAGCGTAGTTAAAAGAATATAGTTACGTAAAAAATTAATAATAGACAAAAAAAACAAGGTCAAGGTCCGACGAAACTTTGAAATAACATCGAGAGAAATTTTGAGCACCAAGTTTGTTTATCTGTCTGTAGCAATATATACGATGATGATATCTTTATTTATATGTAAAACCGACTCGTAATGTCCATAAAAACGACTCACAAGGTAACAACAAAAGAATATCAAACTTAGATACATGTGTCGCAATTACATACACATTTTGGTAATAAAAAAAATAAAATTATTGAAAGCAGTTTTGACAATATTAGTCAAACAAAATGTTGATGCATTATATATCGTTACATGTTGTTAATAATAACACACTTCTTCGGCTCGCATCTCAATGAAATACTAAAAGGAAAAAACAATTTGTGTGAACTCAACAGTTTGCTACCTCTTCTTCAATTATATTCGTTTGATTATTGTTTGGCTTGTTAGAAACGCGTTGTAACAAAATAATTTAGTATTTAATTGAGATGAGAGAAAATGAGAGGGAAAAAAGCGCCATTGTTAATAATATTTCACATTCTAATAACATTCTGAGATAATGCGCTCTCAAATTGTAATGTTTTACCGTTTTGTGCGTACATATACAGGGTGGTGCATTTGAAATTGACTTTTTTTATTTTGCCAAAAGTGTTGGAAATTAGAAAACAAGTTTCGAATAAGAAAACAAAAAGTTGACTCAAGAAAACAATACCTTTGACAAGATAAAAGTGGACCACCTACATTGATTTCTGTTTTAATAATGTAGAATATTTTTCTACTGATTATCTTCTGTTACGTTCTTTCGTTGTTTCTGCAAAATCTCAAAACATAAAAAAAAATATTTAAGTAAACACAAACTGGACTGAAAATAATAAACAAATCGGTGTCAGTTGGAGAATATAATATAAATTGAATGTTTTAGAGAAAGAGAGAGTTGATAAAACAAAATGTATATGTGCGTGGAAAAAATAGAGATTGGATCTCTGTGTGTGCGTGTGTTTGTACACAATATTTTTGTTTTCAAACTAGTATATAGTTTTGATACGTCATCGACAATTTTAATTCTCTCTTATTTCAACTTTTCTAAACTATACATACATGTATAGCGAATTCACATACTTTTTTTTAACAAACTATACTCGAAGATTTTTTGTACGATATAAACCTAACCTAACCTAACCTAAGTTTTAAATAGTTACATATTACTTTTTTTTTCTTATTATACACTTTGACGAAAAAAATGTATCTCCGTTTCGTCGTACCTTTTCTGAGAGTTGGGTAAATTTTTTTCTGGTGAATTGGCGCGACCGATTAATAAGCTGTACATATAAAAAACTGAAGTAACTGTTACGTAGCTAAATCACTGGTGTTGTATACATACATTCTCTCTATATTCTCGAATAATCTAATTGCTAGTGTACATTGTGCTGATGTATCAAAAACTGTGCGAATGTAAACGTTTGTGTGTGTGTGTATTTAAAAAAAATTATATATATATGTGTATATATATATACATATATATACATACCTCTTTCGAGGATTCTTCGTGTGCTTGCGGAACGAAAGACAGGATTGTTAATGTGTGCGTTTAAGTGTGCCTGAAAGAATCGTCGCAAAGTACTTCCAGCATCCGCGAGATCCGTTTTCGAAGACTAGAACGTCTCTCTTTCTCGGTTCTCACGGTTTGTCACAGAAAGGGAAGGAGCATAAAGTCAATAAAATTGTGTGCACAAAAAAAACGCTTCTTCGGAACGCTCCGAAGCAATTCGCCGATTCGGTTTTTCTCGTACCGATATCTTAAATCACGCTTGGCGTAGCGAGCAACTCTCTTCCGAGAATTATCAAAACAAAAAGATTTCCCATTGGAGGAGAAATTCTCCGCCGTCACATTCATTAATTGCTCCAAAACCGGAGACACCATAGGAACGATATTAATCGCCGATAATCCGACGGCAAGTTCGCGTAATCGATTGCAAAAATCACAAAATCGCGCGTTGATAAGTAGCGTTTAATGAAAAGCCAGTCAGGTGTCACGTTTTGCGTGCGTTGCTTTTTTACATATACGTTTCCGCTGTTGCGCGTTTTTTTCTCTTCTTTTTTACACACACGCCCGCGTATTTTCTTTATAGGTAAAAAAAAACAATATCCGAATGCCGTTTAACGTCATATTCTCATTATTACATTTTTTATAAATACAATTTATTATTGTATAGCGTCGCGCGCTTGTGAGTCTTTCGTCGCGACTTACGCGTTACCTCACAACTGCTATGGTTAAAAATCAGTCTTGCTACAAAAAACATACATGATTTGCGAATATATATTATACGTATATGTATAATTCACAGTATTAAGTTATTCACATACGGATAAAGTCCATTTATAAAAATGGAAATTGATCTCATGTGATATGTGACCGTAGTAGTTGCGAGATAAAACCAGAGTCGATACACGAAAAGCTTTCTCTCCTCGTGTGTGGATGCGAATTATTTTTTTATTCGACGTACGTAGTGTCTTTTATATTTGTAAGATACGTGTGATATCGGGAATCATGATTTCTTCATAGCGGAACGCGTATTCGTCGCATTCGTCAGTTTTAACATTAATTAAATTATTGAACGGAACGTTGATTAAATTATTGAAAGAACGGAGTCGCTTTTTCGCGCGCGCGGAAGGATGATTTCTCGAACGTTTCTTCAGAAACAATTCTTCATCATTTTTTTCTTATTTTTTTTTTATTTTACGCCACATTTAAGATAAACGAGTAGATAGAATAATTTTTTAATTTCGTTTGCCACGGTGATATAACCGATTGCGCGAGGATAATGATGAATAATGCTCGCACGAGAACAAACCGAGCGAGTGTGTCGGGAATTGCGTGACGTGTGAAAAAAATATTCGTATCTTCGTTCGTTGACACAAACAGAAAAAAAAAGAAGTACATTTGCAAAAACCACGATCGGAGATGTTCATTTTCATCGCTCGGCAGATATTAATGTTGTGATATTTTACGATACTGTAATGAAATAGATATAACGTTATTACTTGTGTATTATCGTCGACTGTATAATATGTATTAAGGGAAAAATGCTTTACTTTTTATTTAAAAAAAAAAGGCGGGCCTCGCCAAATCCGCGGATTGCGCGTGAGGCTGCTTTCTCCCCGATCTACAATTGTTGATATTTCGTCTAATCTTTATTTTGTGAAATAAATGGAACTTCCATGTGATGATAATAACATTCTGAAAAAAATCGTGTTGGTTTTAATTATTATTAAAAAAGATCTCCACACACACACACATTTTATACTCATGGGAGAATGGGAGGTTTGTTTCGCGGTATACAAATTGTTATAAAAATAATTTAGTTTGGATGCGTTAGAAATATTTTATCAATCAACATCATCAACAGAATAACGATCCAAACCGGATTTGTATTGCACTTTCTCTGGTGTAAGTGCAGACTTACGTGTATGACATAATTTTGATACGATCCTTCAGAATCAGTACTCGTTTTATTACGCGTCGTTATGCAAATGCTTTCATAACGCCATTTATTTTTAAAGTATTTGCTCGTGTTTCTTATTATATAATAATATAATTTAAAAAAATACAAGTGGTTTTTCTTACTACGTAATGGCAAGGATATTTATAGGATATTTATCTATTCATGCACATAAATATATCGCAATAAATTTCATGCAAGGTTTTGTAAAACCTGACTTTGAATTTTAATATTTGAAATCCACTGCGAAACACTAATTCTTTTTCTTATTTGTTTTCTGTTGTTCATAAATTAGGTTGCCATTGCGATGAAATTAAGTTTTTTTTATGTACATAAATTAAGCTTTTATGTTATAAATTTTAGACCATATCAATGTCAAATGTAATGCACAAATGGTGGGGTTTCATCGTTTCCTTTCCAGACAGAAGAAATTTTGCACTTTCGATTCGGCTTATCCTTGATAACTTCTCTGGAGAGGATACAGACAGTAAAACCAGTCTGTTCTCGATCGTTGGACGTCGCTGACCACTTGAAGGGTGTCATTGTGCTGCGTATATAAAAGAAAAACACTTTGCAAACGGAGAATTTTCCAATATTATATGAATATCGGTGCAGACAGAATTTGAACGAATCAAAAAATTATTTCTAATTTGTTTCCCGACGGTTTGTTTTTATTCCTTTTTCTCTAATGATACTCTTTTGTTTGTCGAATTGGTAACTTTTTTTTTTATTTTTTTTTTTTTATTTTGTTTGGTCATTAGTATCAGTATTTAACAGTTTGCAGATGACAAGAAAGTTCAAGAGCTGTTTTATTATGTCGCAACGGCAACTTGCGTTGGTTTTGTGTATCTGCACAAATTTCACAGTGATACTGTGTGCCTCTTCATCATTTTCCAAATCTAATGAAAATATTAGCCACATTCTTCCCGCCTATGCCATCGCCGAGAGAGCTCATTTGCTCAATTCGTCGACATGTAGAAGAGAACTACAGGACTTCCGAAACGCCGTCGACCAACGCATTCTGTGGAGCTTAAAGAGTTCGTAAACATTTTTATCTTGTTACAATAGACAAAAAACAGTTTCAATATTACGCGTGTTAGAAAGTCTGATCCAAAAAATCCAATCGTAAGTTGAACATTGAAATACATAATCAAGTGATTGTGTGCGAATCCTTACACAGTTTTTCGAAACAAATTGCAAGATTTTGTTTTTCAAAGAAACTAATCTTGAAAATACATTTTGAAACTCACAGTTTAAGAAAAAATAATTTTTTTTTGTTTTTTATATATAGTTTTCTTTCAAGAGACTTAGCGCTACGTGCGTATAATAAAATTTTCTTAGAAATAAGATTTTTTTTAAGTGTATAGAGGAACAATATGTGCGAACTATGTATCATGCAAACAACAGCTGTACTGATCAATTCTTACGCGTTTGTTCTACATCGGAAAGCGCTTTTTTTCAAATTCACCGAATGTGCGTTCTGCATTCAAAACGATAATTACCGCTTATTTGTATTATGCAACATATTTTCCGCGTTGTTGATTGTGTTGGCGATATGCAATTTTTTGTCAGTGCATTTTCTACCGAATCAACTTTCTTCGTGTTACACAAGGAACAAGTTTTGTAGCCGCATGTTTTGAGCGTTACGCGCGTGCCTGTCACGTAATTCTCTCTCATTTTATTTTGACGACACGCTACTATATCTCGTTGATTGAAACATGCGCTACACGTAATCGCGGTATGCGCGATTATGTACTTACGTTTAATTGCGTATCCTATTTACCTTCTTGAATGCACGTGTTCATTCTGTACACCGCGTTTTTGGATATTTTTTTTTTAACAGTTTCGCACGTAATGTGTGTTCAATGCAGTTGCGATTCTTCTTTGTGCGCGCGTGTGACGTACATTGCTCGCGCGATTGTTGCACATGCGCGCGTCATTGATCAATGCGCGAACTCGCGCAACGAAGAATTTCATGTTATTGCAATAAAAATTGCGAACGAGGTCTTGAAAATCAATAAATAAATCGGAATGGTTTTTTAGCGAATTATTTTATCAAGCTCGTCGAGATTTTTGTCACATAATGAGTTCAAACTCGCGTCATTCCGAGAATCGCGCTCTCGAGAATCGAGTTATCTCGTACGACTTTCTTCGAACTTTTGCTCTTTCTAACAACGCGAAGCCAGCAAGTATTCTGATGAAAGAGTTGATCTCTTTCGCATCTTCTGGTAATCGACTTCTTGTTGCATAATGTGTTCCGGGTAATAAACTTTCTTTTTTTTACATTCTGTAAAAGACCATACATATAGTCTGTTATCTTGATTTGAATTTGTGTGTGTGAAATTAATTATTTTCTCTTCCACGACGATCGACTCTTGGAATATTATGTGTTCCTTGTAACATTAAAAAAAACTTAAAATTATTATAAAATTAATTAACATCTATACAACTTACGCCAATATTCAACAACTTTTTTAATTTTTACCTTCCTAATAGCGCGAAGATAACTGCAGAATTTGTTTTTCAATTGGTTTACTCGTTCTGGATCTCTTGACATATAGTCTCAACCTCTTTTCATATCATGTTATATGAATAATATTAGTGGCGCAGTATCTTTTACTATTTATCGGATGTGTGTCTTTCGTATTATTATTATATATCTACACGTTCTCTCCAAAACATTCTCAAACAACAAAAATATTAAATAACAATTGCCTACAAATAGTTTTTGTTTTCAGTTTTAGATTCAAGCGGAAAACCTACATCAGGTTTTCTTTATGGAAATAACTTCTGGTTAGGTGTCCGTAGTCAGTGCCTCGATGCAATGAACAAGAATCCTTTGCAAATCTCGGAGAAGGCGTTGTTAAACAATACACTGTACCGTGATCCGGAAAAGGAGTTCCCGCCTTTTCAAGTCAATTATTTCGTTGCTTACTTTAGACACAACAGCACACTGCAATATCACATTCAAGCGCCAAAGGAAGTAAGTTTGTTTGAGTAGTGTGTATATAATGTATAAAATATTTACATTATGCAAACAATTCTTGTCTTAGGATTTGATCACACTTGGGCTCTGTTTACCAGCATCTTGCGCTGTAACTGATATAACTTTCGTTCTGGAGAGAATATTTCGCGACAGAGTTCTTCAAATTGGTGATCTTTATTCCATGGATTTTAAACTGATCGAAGTTACAGACTTGAAAAACGATCATCAACAGCTATTTACTGGTGCAATACTTATTATATTGTACGTTGAAGAATGTATCAATGGAACAACAGTATATACTGCATATAATATACATATATAAATTCAAATACGCATGTTTAGTTTCTTTTTACACGTACATATAAACGTTATGATTACAGTTTTTTAGTGCTTACTGTTTTTATAATGATAATTGGAACAATATACGATATATTTGTGCATCAAAGACACTTTACTGACAAGAGTAAAAACATTGTTGGTGAGTATATAGGAGAAATTTTTTTATAAGCTTATCTGTATTTTTTTTTTTTTTTTTTTTTAACATGCATAGTCTTCAATTATTTTTTTTCTATCGCAATTTACGTGTATAATTGTTAATTATTTTGAAATGTAGGTACGCAACATGTAGAAGAAACAAAAATGGCATCTTCGTTCTGGCATCGAGAAAGTAAAATTGGACAAATAGTGAGGTGTTTTTCCGTTTATACAAACACGAAAATAATATTTAACACAAAACTGGGAGCGAACGGAATACCCATTATTCATGGTTTAAAATTTTTGACCATGAGTTGGATAATCATGGTCCACACCATGATATATTCAATAGACTATATTGGTAAGTAATTTAACACATATTTGTGTGTATTATATCATGTGTCTTTTTTACTCTTCCTCTTTGACGTAAACAGAAACAAATAATTTCATTTTTCTAATACATAGATAATAAACCGATGTTCATGAGAATCTCTAAAGGAGTTTTCGTTCAAATATTGAGCAATGCGAATATATCGGTTGATACATTTTTTTTCCTAAGTGGATTTTTATTGGTGTACTTGTATATGAGGAACCATGCGGACGAAGAACGGAAAAAGCTAATTAATTGCAGATCGAAGCTAAATGGATTCTTTGTCTTTATAATAAAGAGATTTATCCGGTGCGTTCCATCAATTATCTCAATGCGAACAATAGACAAAAGACAGTGGAATAAGAAATATTAAAATATCACAGTAAATGAGGGAAACACAATATTATTACAATCTCAAAGATTTCTTAATGCAAAAGAAATATAAATTTTTAATACAATAGTTAAAAACTTGATAAATTATTGTAATCACGTCTTTGTTAATTTTAACAAAACTTTATTTTAAGGCTTACACCGGCGTATATGATGATAATAGGAATAACACAATTAGATTTGTTCTCGTATGATAAAAATTCAATATTTTACACATATGAAAGACCACACGAAACTTGCGCAAAATACTGGTGGACTAATATTTTATACATAAATAATTTTTACGATTTCCATAACATGGTATTAAAACATTTAGCAATTTATTTCTGTATTAATATATTATTTTTTTTTTAATATCATTTTTATCTTTGTCTATGTTTTTTTTCGCAGTGTATGTCTTGGAGCTGGTATCTGGCCAGTGATATGCAATTCTACATCATTGGCCTAGCTTTATTGATTTTATCGACCGTGTAAGTTAATGATTATCTCAATATCACACAGGTAAGTTTTATTCGCACGCATTCGATTAATTGTAAGTTTTAAATTTTAGATATTTGTACTGGACTATTATTATATTGTGTGCGCTTTTAATTGGATCGATTGTATTTTCTGGTTATATTTCATATGTTTATGAATTTGTTCCGACGTAAGTAATAAAAAAAAAAAAAACATCTTATTGAATGTGATCATTATTTGATCGCGCGATATATTATTTGATCATTACAGATTGGACGAATTATTTAAACTTTCAAACATTATTTACTTTCCACCATGGGTTAGAATCAGTCCCTATATTATTGGGATGCTTACCGGATTTCTTATAATACGATTAAATAAAACGTTAGTTTTAAAAAAGGTGAGAGAGAAACAGATAGAGTGTATTTTAATTTGGTTTAAATTTGATAAAAAATACAAGCGTGGATATTGTTGGTGTAAAAATTTTTCAGAGGACATTAATTTTATGTTGGTGCTTTGGAAGCATCTGTAACATACTCGTATTGTTTGGTCTCTATGAACGACACATTTCTGTTCTGTCTACTGCCATATATGTTGCGTTAAGTAAACCATTTTGGGCTATAGGACTAGCTTGGATCTTAATAGCATGTCTCACTAAAAACGGAGGTTGGTTTCTATTTGATAATAACTTGATTTTTTACATACGTTCATTTTTCAGCACAGTTTAGTGATGTCGAAAAGATTCAGTTTAGAATAAAGAAACATCACTAAAACCTTATCTTATTTTTCATTAAAGGTATCGTTAATCAGTTGTTGTCATTCAGAAGTTGGATACCTTTCAGCAGGCTCACGTATTGCGCTTATCTTTTAAATCCCTTCATCATACAGACTTTTCAGTCAAACAGTGAGACTTCTAAGCACATTGATGTTGCGCCAAATGTAAGTGTATATGAAATTCTTAAAAACTCTACTACTTTTTTAATAGAAAAATATTATCACAAGTTTTGATTTTTAGATTATCATATATTTTGGGAACTTGATGTTTAGTTATTTTTGCGCTTACATACTGTCGTTGATGACAGAAACGCCTTACATCTTGCTAACGCAAATATTTATCAAATTTTGGGGAAGAAGAGAATATAAGTCTCGCAAGATTATAATATCTCAGACAAAAGTGTGAGTTATTACGTGTGACAAAGATAAAGTATTGTGTGTATGTACACGCTGTTGCTGAATCACGCGCGTGTGAGCTTTTTAATAACATTATTTCCATTTCCTTCCCAACTGCCATTTTAAAACTTAAATCTCTCTTGTTCTCTGATAGATCGAATTCTTGAAAGAGATCTTGACAATATGTAAAAAAAATAAGTATAGTGAGAGATAAAAATATCGCGTATGAAATTGTGAGCTACGATGACAGCGTAACTTGATATTATAAAGATGTACGTGTAATTATTGAATCGAATGCTTTTTAATTAGTTGTTAATAGTATCATTTTTCAATAAAAAAAAAAAAAAAAAAAAAAAAAAAAGAGAATCTTGTTAAATTTCATGTTTCGTATATGTAAAATTTTACTCGATCTGGGACAAGCTGAATATAAGGTCACACATTACTGCATATATTCCAAAGTACATTACAGTAAATTGTTTTACATATGTGACATTTAATTCGTTGAATGATAACAATACTGCCATCTACACTTATTTAAGTATTAAAGAAACGTATTGTACATAGCATTCACAAACGGAAGTCACTCAATATATCTTCTACCAGTTTGAATTAAGCTCAGTTACAAAAAATGATTAGATAGTTTTTCAAGGCACTATGAGTGAACCGGGGAATGTATTCTGGGCGGCGCCGGAGAAGTTACAGAGCGATTCGCTCGGGATGCTTGTTCGCGTCGACCTTCTTCGACCTGTTTCTCGAGCTGTTCTTTTAAGACTAGAAGCTCTCGTGTTCTCTGATGAACGGGATCCTTGAACCAGACGCGTCTCAATAAGTATATGCTTTTTTGACTTGTTCATTTTTTTTCTTTCTATTATCCAGAATTTGAGATTATTTTTCATGTTACCTGTTGCCGCATACTGGGATTCCATCTGCAATATAAACTTTTCAATGGTTTGATGTAACGCATACTGGCAACTGGTATCAAAACAAGCTGATAAGGTGTACCGGATCGATACAAAGGATTCAGATAAAGAGGTAACTGACTGTTCGTGTACGACCACAGAGAGACCGTTCTTTGTTTCACTCCCTCTTGCACTCTTTCACGTTCGCTGAAGATAATAAATTATTTATCATAATAATTTGCATATTTGCGACGAGTATCACAGAATAAATAAATATGTGTACCTGCTGAACAAAAATGTGCCAAATCTGCAAGAGTAGAGATGATCGAGGATAGTGATTAGGAAGTGCTCGTTAAATTCGAATGCGTTAGGAAACTGCCGCATTATTTGCCAAACGCAATCGATAAATTGTAAAAATACCGGCGATCTATCGGCATCACTGTGATGTTCATCTCCGTGGCCTATTCTCTAAAAGGAAGAAACAAAAACCTAAATTCTTCTTAAATATCCCATTTTTATCGTAAAAATATTTCGTTTATTCAAGTTAACAAAAAAAAAACACACAAAAGTGCAAGTCGGAAGTATTTTCGTACGAAAATACCTGTTGAAATTTATGTCCAAAACTAAGCCACTCCTTTTCTATCAAAACCTCGAATCCTTTGACTGTTCTATAATAAGGATCCAGCATTAACATTGCGAGAGCTGTAAGCTAAAAGAAGAGAGAGAAAGAGAGAAAAACGATAATGCAACAGGTAAAAATACTTAAAAATGACTTTGTACTACAAATTAAATAAACATTCATACATACCTGTGCCGTTCGATCCCAACCGTCAGAACAATGAACCAGAACGGAAGTTTTGTGATTCTCGACTTTGTCTACAATTCTCACAGCGCCGGCGAGAACACATTTGACATGTTTAAGCCACATTGTTGATTCTATACCCGATAACCACCGAGTCTCGTCAATTGTTGGGAAACACAGTTCTGAGGAAACAAAGCATGCAATGTAAATACGAGTATCGCGAAATATGGATTTAAAATTAATACGAATACAAGTTAATTCGTGCATACCTTTTACTTTTCTAAGACTTTCTCTCATAACGTGTATATTGGGAATGTCGAGAAAGACCAATTCCGCATTCTGATAAGCGTCCTCGCTTTCATATCCGCCGCCTTTCGCCTTATTGGCTATTGCGTTTGGCATCGGCCGCGCATCCATAATAAAAAGTTTGTGACTTTGCGCGTTAGCATCCATTATCAACTGAACGTATCTCTCGTCTTCGCGACTACGTTTGCCTCCGACACCTACCAACGGCTGAGCGCAACGCGTTATCGTCGCCTGGCTTTCCGGATGAATCCACGAAAGAACCGGCAGTCTGCCTCTACTTCTGAAAGCTGCGGATGCTTGAAGATCTTCATCAGTCGCAGCGGCAGGCACTGCCCATATGGCTGGATAACTATCGCATATCGAATACGTGTCATTGATTTTCGATATTTTCCACATATCATTATTTACACCCTGAAATTTTACGAGATATGGAATGATATTAAGAAAGAATATGTCTGTTCTCACATAATAAGTTTATTTAATTCTATGCATTACGTACCATTCTCTTTAGCTCTGCTATAGGTTCGTAAACGTTCCAGCCGTTTTCAGGAAAATTCTCGGAATATTCGAAAGCAAACAGATCCAACTTGTGAGATAACGGAAAAGAATACTGTTGCAACTTCTCGAACACGTCTCGTCGGGAATGATTCTCTTGCTTGTGAGCAAACTTGACATTTCTCATGTCCTTACAGAACACTTCAATTCCGTAAGAATTCTCTCCTCTGCTCGTTGCACCACCAACTTTTTCTATTCGACTAACAGCTCCCAATGGCACTTCAACAACATAAGGAGTTTCTCGATCCACACTACGGAAATAAAGTTTGTAGTTTGTGACACTAAGAATTCCTCTGGCAGGTCCCGAGTACGGGCATAAATAGGTAACTTCATGTGCAATGCCTTGCACTCGTTCTCCATTCAAAAGTGGCGGTCCGGTATCTCCTCCAGACAAATTCTAATTAAAGTAATCAAACAGATGATCAGCTACGAACATCGTGCGAAGATAAACAGTTTCTGATGTAATTCTAATAAAATAAATGGTAAACCAATCTAATAGGCGATGATAATAAAGATATTTGTAAAGTAAAAGTGAATAAATACATATACATATGAAACAAGAGAATATTTTAAACAAGTCATATATGCGTAAATGATCTGAATAAAAATAAATTTCATTACTAAACGCATACTCGTGGAAATAAAACATTGCTGTAAAATAAAAATCAGTACATTTAAACATTCACTCTACGTGAACTCACTTTTACTTGGTTATCTTTTTTAGCCTCTAAAGCAGAGACTATGTTATTATCGGTTGAAGTGGAGCTTGAAGAAAAGCTCTTTGAATGTGATGCTTTTTCCCAACTTTCCTAAAGAAATTTTTATATCAACTTAAATGTGTGTGTGTGCGCGTACACACATCTAATATTAAATATTTTATTTTTGCGAGTTTTAAAGAGTTTTAAACATGTAACAAATGACTTTAACTCAATTATATTGCTGTTTTTACCGATTCCTGTCCTATTTTTGAATTGAGTGAGCTGCTCTTGCTATCTGAATCGAGAGAATCCGAACTGGCGTTCTTTGAGTTGTTCTTTTCTGCGCCAAGTAGTTCTGTGCTGCCTCTCTTTTCCATCTTTTGCATCAAGGACGATAAACTGTATTTTTGTTGCAATCACTCCTGTATTTAGGATTAATTATTTTCTATATGATTCCGTGAGAACCTGTACATAATCATAATAATCTTTGTGTTTAATAAATAACAGCTTACATCACAATAATAACTACATATAAAATTATATATATATGTAATAATGTGTTAAATGTATTTAATTAATAAAACAAAGATGTTAAAAAGTAAAAAACTAAAGTGAACCACAGGAGAGACTCGAGAGTAAACAGTTTGTGTATCAGCGACATAACCTTACAAAGCTCTCGCATCTTGTGTACGTTAAGATAAGACGAGTGTATGTCAGTTACAGATAAACTCAATGTCAGCTCGTGACAACGCAACGTCTGTGTGTGTAAGTGGCACGTAGTATCGTGGGAAACTTACAAAAAAAAACAAGCAATCTACACGAACGACGCCAATAACTGGAAGCAAACCATCCTGTTGTATGTCATGCCACACCCAGGATAAGAGAGACGCTGTCAACTGCTACACTTTGATCTTGGCCACCGAGGCCGAAACTTCTTTTTGAAAACGACGATGGAGAGCGGTCTTGGCCATAATTTAGCCGCTATTGCTATTCCGAACGAAATAATTCTCTTAAGTGCTTTTTTGACGTCTGATACTTTTGACAAGTTTGGTTGCTAAAAGTTACGCATGTACACACGTGTGTACTGCTATAATTTTTTAACCACACCAAAAACAGCAAATGCATCTGACAGTCCGCGGTCTGTCGCAAAGTGGGACGGAAAAATTATACTCACACTTCTAAGAAATTTTTATTGATTCTCCTCAGGGGGTTACAATATTTCTTTCACATTCATTCTCACATTCCTCTTCCACACTTTCACAACCAATTCAAGCGGGACTTCCCGCTCAACAGTCCTCGCGCTCAGGCCGCGAGACCACTGACTGGTGGGTGGGCCAGTTCTATACGCACACTTTCATATTTTCCGAAAATAAATACAAACTTGTGAACAATCTGCTCGTAGTTCTTATTTCTCCCGTGTTCTTTAGTCCTAAAAATTCTCACACCAATTCCTGATACTTTTTCGAATCGATTTTTCGCGTTTGAAATTTTACGGTGTCATCATAACAGTTTCGAATCGCTGTCGGAATCGAGAAAATCACCACGTGGTTGGGACGCGGTCTCGTCGAGTTCTAGTACTGGTCATTTTTGCGGACGAAAATTCGCGTCCTGAAATATCTCGCCAATTCCGCGCGTTACGTTATCCTCACTTTGCATCTCTCTTTCTCTCAATCAGTTACGTATCAACGTGATTTGCTTCAGTCGTAATTACAATAGATATAATAATAAATATGGCTATTGATAATGAAACAAAAAAAAGGAGATATATTGAAATATACAGATATATTTGATTTCTGGCAGTGTGTAATTTATTTATATATATATATATAATATATATATATAATATATATATATATATATGTGTTTGTGTGTGTGTGTGTGTGTGTGTACGTAGTATTATTTCATACAAAATTATGTACAATAGTAGTAATCAAAAGATGAAAAACTACGAATCAAGGCTGATGGCAGTGTTTGTACCCGATAATTTTAACGATCTGTCAGAACTCTTTGACAAACGTATCCGCTCTTCCGGCTTCAGAATATCGGCTATGATCTTCTCGTCGCTGAGCCGATCCTGCGCTTCCCGCTTAATTTCTTGAAGAGGAGGTTGCTTCTTTTTGTATTGATGCGATACGTTGCACGTCGACTTGTCACCCCTCATTGAGAATCCTTCTTCAGCGACCGACGCAAGTTGTGCCGTTTGTATTTCAGTCAGAGTGAGTCTCCCATTGATTTTGCCCTCGACAGAACTGACAGACTGCTGCCGATGGCTAGTTTCAGAAATAGGAACAACAGGTGATGATTGGAGCGGATTCTCCTCCGTTCCGATTGGTATGTTCAGAATGTTGATTGGTTCTACATAAAGCTGTGTGAACAAACAAATGGCAACTTACTTTTTAAATGGTTGAAACTTCGTCTCTTAACACGTACATGTAATAATTAATTTTAATTATCCACACACAGCATGTAATTCGTTCGGAATACATGAGAAGTCAGTATATATATACCGAGCGGGGGTTTCAAGTCGTGTAATTTCTCTGAAATGTCACGCACACAATCACACTAAATATATACCAATAACATTTGATATAAATGACGTAAGAAACTTACTGCGTCAAATGCAGAATCGAGAAATAATTCTTGCAGGAATCGTCTCGCTGGCATTCTATACGTGCCACTACTCAAGCGAGCGGCCACATCCGAAAACAAACAGGTGTCCTGCAAAAGTGTATAGCGACAAACATGTGATAAAAAAGATGCACGTCGAGACGATGTGCGAATGTGATTACCTGAAATTTTTCGGGATACCGTTGTCTCAATCTGAGCAACGACTGACGGCTGTTACGATACAACACGGGATTCGCGAGCCGCTGAGTATGCTTAAGTATTTCTCTACATAAAATGAACAACAAACGCGCTAATGTACACATCGACAGTCAGATTTTCATCATTTAACTTGTTGATAAAAGTGGTCACAAACGGATGTTATTTTTTACCTTCGCAATTTCGTATCCTGCTCGGTGCTTGCGGTCTTGCCACTTTTACCGTGATAACAAACGAGACACGTGCGGCAATGCTCGAAGTCGATATCGTAGTCCGAGCTTGACTCCTCATCAATCTCTGTCGTCTCCAACTCCGATCTGACGATATCCTCCAGAATAATCGGTTTCGACGGTTGTGGGGGCTCGGGAAAGATCGCGAGAAGTCTTCTTGGCAGACAGATACCTATGTAGAATAAATTCTCATTGTCGTCTTCCGGTGGAGGGGGAGTAGGTGTGAGAACCGCGTTCTCTGCGATCCAGCTGCGGGACGAATCGTACTCCGACAGACTTTGCAGCGAAAGACGGCCATCTAAACTATACATCTGTTAGGGCAAAGGACTTTCAACGTTATTATTACATCCTCCACGAACAAACAACATTCAAATTCATAAAAAAAGGTATTTACATACTTCTAAACTACTTTGAGAGTAACTTGGCCTGCGATGACGTTGTAAACTACGTAATCGCGCATATCCTTCAGCGTCTTGTTGGCTTAGTCTCTGTATGCTGGAAACGGGACTTGGAGTTTCGCCTCTGTCTCTGAAAATAGAAAAATATCAAGTTAATAAGAAAATGTCATGTGAAAAAAAGATACAAAAAAATTGTTTTGCGTGTTGATCTCACTATAAACCTCTTTCAATATAAATAAATGTAATTATGTTATAAAAACAACTTTTGATTCGGTTCACTCACGGAAGAATGTAGCGTCTCGCTTCGAGATCTGTAGCCGCGCTCTCGGATCGATTTCTAGTTCGGCGTGCAATCGGTTCAGGCAGTTCCGGCTTGCCGTCGCTGAGGCTGCGATGATGCCGCTGCACAGGGACCGGGCTCGGAACGGAATATCTAGTCGAGGGCGACACCACGGGCCAGTTGTCTCCACGTCGATGTCGAACGCACGGCCAGTTAAAATTAATGAGCGCATCAGCGCCAGCGCGAGTAGTACCAATCAGACTGAGAGCGTACATCGCGGTCGCGCGCACTGAATAATATTGACAAGTCTCCGCCATGGAGGTAATCATCTCGATTATACCCAAATGACTGAGATGTTCAACGCCGGCGGCAGACGTGCCCGCATGTCCGAGCGCCCACAGAGCCGATTTCACTTTGAGCAGGCTGCCATTCGAATCAACGAAGTAATCGTCACGCGACAACTCGCCAGTTTCCAGTCTCCAACTTCGTTCCGGAGTGGTGTGCCGAGAATTGTCCACATTAGTTTTGGGACGGATCTCCAACGACTCTGAAGTAATTGTGTCCCGGACCACGCTTTCCACCACTTCGGAGTCGAAAATGGTTTCGAGGCGGCTGTAGTGATCCATCGCTTCATCTGTGGATTCCTCTGACATGATACAGCTGTCGTCGGTAACAATGGCGGAGGTCGTAGCGGTAGTAGTAGCAGCAATGGCAGTAGCAGTAACAGTAGTAATAGTAGCAGAAGTAGTAGTGGTAGTAGAAGTAGCAGTAATAGCGGTAGTGATAGTGGTAGTAGCAGCAGCAGCAGCAGCAGCAGTGGCAGCAGCTATGAAACGATTTGTTCTGGTGCATCGCAAATTAGACTCTGAATCACGACCGCCGAACTCCAGCTTGAATCGCTGCAGCACTCGAGCAAAGCGCTGTATCACGTTGCGACGCAACAGCAATTGCATACCCAAGTCGTGCTGTGCTAGCTGGCCGATCAGATGAGGCGGCACAAAGATATCGCGCGGTACCATTGGTATGTTGGTGGTTCTTCTCTGGTAGCTACCGGTCTCGTCGCGTTGACGACGCGTCAACGCGTCGTGTATCTCCCCTTCCACAAGGCCTACGTATCGTTCGGCAAAGCCGCCAGGCCCGATCCATTTCTCTAATTCTTCTGACGGCATAGCAAAACTCGCAAAGCCTTGCTGCAAGGAGTAGAATCGAATCTTTAGCAGATAACCCTTGTCACCTAAATGCTGCAACCACTTGTCCCAATTGCGCGATTGTCCGCCCTGCTGAAGAAGCGCCTCGAGATATTCGGTTTCCTCGCAAGCTTCGTGTAACGCTTCCAGTGCGGCCAGCGCTACAGCCGTGGAATTGTCCGACAAGCGATCGACCAACAATAACATTGCCCAACGCACGGCATCCGTCATTCTCGCGCGAAGTATCAGCCGTAGAAATTGCGTGGCGTAAAGTCGCGTGCTCCATAGCGTTGCGTCAGATATGATTTTGCTTAACACCTTTCTATTCGGGCCATCTCGTGAGTAATCCAGGCTAGATACGATTAACTTGACGTAACAGTCGTGATTGGTGGCAAGCGCGAGATCTTGAAGCTTTTCCAATAGGTTAAAACTCTTGAGGACCACCGTGCCTTTAGCCGAGTGACTCAACTGACCGAGAAACAGAAAGTATTTCTGGCAACACGTAGTGGACATGTGACGCGGCGAGAAAAGACAATCGTGTGCGGATTCGGCGGTGCTGATATTATTGATTTGCTCGGCAATGTCACCGATCAACTCATTGAGAAGTCGCGCGCCCTCCGGCTCGTGCAGTTCCAAAAGACAATTGAGCAAATCGCAACCAGCGAGAGTCGCTTCGCGCGCCAGAGTTGCACTCGTGCCCAGCTCAACTCGGCTGTATCCATTCCACGAGGGTTTGAAATAGCGCACAAGTCGTTTCATGAATAACCGGTGATCGGAATCGTGCAAGATTCGCGTGGAATCCTCACGCGATCGCAGAATTGCTCGCACCACTGGCCAGTTCCAGGCAAGCGCATCTTTTGTACTGAGCACCTGCGCGTCTTTCAACAACGGTGTGATCGGCGATTCTCTACCAATTCGTAACCAATGCTTGCCAGATGGTCGTTGACGCCGAGGTAAGGTCGGTCGTAGCCAGGTGCCGGCTTGTAGTATACGATCGAGAAAGAGACTTGCCGGCGTAGGTCTGCGTCGCATCATTGTGTGCATTCGCTCGAGAATAGTTACTGCTGCCAACGCCTGATGTTTGCCCGCGCTCGCATGCTGCAGCAAATTCGGTAGCGGCGGGGTAAGATCGCAAAGTTCGGATGGCAAGAGCGAGTGCGCGAGATGTAATAGAGCGCCTAGAAGTACCGCTGCGCGTACCGAGATAAACGTGTCGCTGGAAACGATGGTCTCCGCGAGGGCACGATGCAAACCACATTCCAAGAGGACGTAGATCAACAACGCCGAGTGTATCTCTGTGATGTTGGGACAATGCGATGACAGAGAGGGCAATATAAACTTTCCCTCGGCAGCGACAAAACCCTCGGATAATTTCCACGAGTCTCTCGATCTGCTGGGATCTACTGCGGCCAGTGCAACGTCCGGCTCATCGGTCCACGTGGGCAGCGGTAAATCCAACAGCTCGTAAAGCAGCTCCAATACAGCCCCGCGTACTTCCAACTGTTCCACATATAGAATATCCGCGATAGCCTTCAGGCCCGAATTATTGTCTGGTCGGCAGAAGTGCAGGACACCCGAATACGAACGTAATATGCTCAGAAGAGCCAGCTTGCTCGCTGCAAACTTCTGCTCGCGCTCTTCTTTGGTTCTTTCCATGCTCGAAGAATGCAACTCACAATAAGGCGCGGCAAAGCACAAGAGGGATACACTATTACGAGTATCAGGGCTGTTCAGTAGTCGAAGTAGAACTCCTACTACAGCCTCGACTGCAGCGGTGCTCTGACCACTCATCGCAGCCCTAGCTAAAGTACCAACACCACCGCAGCTTATTAATAGATTGGAGTTCAGAACGCCCAGTTCGCATAGGGTTGCCAAAAATGCTCTAAATGCACGGTCTCGCTCTTCAATTCCGCCATTCGTCAAACTGATCAACGATCTTGCTAGAGCAGGACTGAAATGCTTTGGAGCTAGTACCAGAATCCTTCTGACAAGTCGCAGAGCCTGCATTCTCTCCATCTCGTTCCGCAAATTGACATCCATGCTACGTGCTAGGAAGTACGGATATTGCAATTTGTTGATTGTAATGACATCTTGTTCCTTCTTAAGCATGTAACGTATTGCTCGTAGTGCGGCAGCACGTACCTGCGTTGCCTCATGCACCAGTACCACGCGTAAACTATAATTCGAAATAATAAGGATCCTTTATTTATTTTTTCCTTCCATGTTAGATAGACAAGTAACTAGTTTTTCTTACCAACAGAACAGGTCCTCTGTAGAATATCCATAATCTTGGGAGTCTGTTTCGCTGATCAACTTAACAACAGCATTAAGATAAGCTAATTTCTTTACACTTGAAACATTGTGACGCTGGCAAAGATTAGTTAAGACTTCCTTGATATTCTCCTTTAATCCTATAAAAAAAAATTGAATGTTTCTTAAAAATAAAACATGCCAACATAGCTCTGAAAGCTGAACACATGAGTAAATGTTTTTATAACAAAAAACTATTATAAAAAACCGATGTACTTTTAGACAGAAAAAAAATATAGTAAGAAAAAGTAACGGTTCTTCAAACTGAAGTGAGATAAAAAAAAAAAAGTCGTAAAACTTTACTCTGCAGTTTCAAATCTTGTAATCTGGTTTTTGGACAAAATATCCTTCAGTTTTCTGTGCTGATATATTTCAAACTGTTAAGTGATACAAAATAAATTTCTATACACTACTGACAAAAATTATTTCAGTTGATTGCGATTTTTCACATCATGCTCAAAAAGTCATAGAACAACTAAAGGTTGCCGGTTTTAGAAGCAAACCCACCTCAACATCGTGTTGATCAAGCAAACAATCGTAAGGATACCTACAAATCAAACTACCAAGTGTTGTCGATAAGAAGATAGCAAAGAAACAGAGAGAAAGAAAAGTTGGGGAGGACAAATATGGGGCAGGTTAGGTACTAACCTCTTGACAGGTCGAGCTGAACGCAGTTGTCCTCGGTGTCTTGGCGGCCTGCAATCAGAAAGAGACGCGAGCAGAAGAGGCGTGAAGATGCGGATACGTTTTAACATTCACGCGATAATTTATATTGCAATTTGTCGTGCACGCACTTCGATGAGATCGGCTGGTGCGTAGGTTCCTGCCCCACATCATCCAGCTCGAAATTGCCATTATTCGATGGCGCGTATCCACAGGCAATTGATCCAGAAGTTGTTGTTTTTTTCGCGATCTCTTTCTCAACCGTCGCGTTGCTCTTGTCCGACGACGCTCCGCCCGTTACGTGCGTGTTCGCGCGTCGTCCGCGCGTGTCGATACGTCATTCTCGACCGCGAGCGGGAGCACCGAACGAAACACTAGTACGGGCGTGCATGACAGTCTATTTGACAAACGTCGCACCGGACTTGGCAGCGAAAGCATCGAGAAGTATTACATCAACTACGGGACGATCATTTGCGTCGAAACAATACGTATTGCTGTACTATTAGCTGCTTCTTTCGAATAACGGTATAACGATACTTCACCGGGAAAAAGACGAAAACAACGACAGCAGAAGAAACGAAGACGCAGCCACACACAGTACGCACGAACCACATTCCGATATTCACTGTCACTAGTGTCAGTGCAGTCTGAAAATCTATAGTTCACTTTACGTACTATAGATTTTTAAGTCAAATGTTGCAACGCACAGAGACCCTGCAATCAGTGATTTCGAAATCACGTTCTCGCTACTGCGATTGGTGCCGCCATTTCGTCAAATCAGTTGTGCAATGAATACCGGCCTCAATTCAAGCCCTGTGTACACACATTCAAAGAAATTTAAATTGCCTGTGTTCACCGCGGTTCGAGTTCTAGTAACTTTTACTTTGTACACAGGTCTTCAGTTTGTTTCGAATAATAACCGGTACCACGTGTTTGCGTACAAGAGCTCTGTAATTGACGCGCAACATCACGTGTTGTTTTATCGCGTTTTATTTTCGTTTCGTTAGTAAAAGACGCTTTTGACAAAATTGACAACCTGTTTTTTTATGTAATTTTGTTTTTGTCGGAAACAACAAGCGAAATAAAACAAAGTGAAGTAAAAAGCATTATGTATTCTTCGTTCGGTTGGCCTGTTACTGACAATAATGTTACAAAGAGAATGATCGACAACTCACTAACGCATACATTTTTACCATCCCAGAAAATACGAAGAAGAACGAAAATATTAAACAATTTACAGAAGAACCGTAAATTGAAAACTTACAATCAATATATCATGTTAAAAACCAGCGTTCTGCGAAATGTAAAGGATGACACCGAGACTGATTACGACACGGGTCTCACTGATGGTGAATGCAGTTTAATATATAATTCTCCAGCAAAACAGACCCAATATGTGACTGAGAATTTTGAGAAATATATCTTCTTTAGTGATGATGAGTGTGTAAAGAGTAAGAAAAAGAAGACCAAAACAGCTGCAAACATTAAAGCAAAAATGCAAGAGGAACAAGTAACAAAGAAGAAGAAAGAAATGGTACCAGAAGTACAAAATGAGAAATCAGTGTCATGTCATACTGAAGCATCTGAAACGCATGGTCTTGGCTGGCAAGATGTTACAAAGCATAATGGAAATATATCACAGTTGCCTGATAATTTAGCACGCACTGCAGATGTTTTTTTGAATAACAAAGAAGATAATGTTAATTATATAAACAAGTATGTAAATAACAGAGATACTAATGTGACAATAGATAAAGCAATTTCTCAAAATGTAACACACAGTAACAGAACATCTATAGATAGCAATGTGATAGAGAATTATGAAATCGATTTTATAAATAATATAGAAGATTTTGAAATAGACGAAAATATGGAAGATAAGTTGAATTGTGATCAGTTACTTTCGTATAACACAAAAAGTCAGCACGATGCTTCTTCAATAGAAACAGCATTTGATAATATGTCGCTAGATCAGCAAGAAGATCTGCAAGATGAACTTGACAAAATTGAAGAATCTTCAAAATCTGATATAAAAAATCTATCGCATCTAGATATTATGCAGGAAATGCTTGATTGTCCTAAAGAACTTAAGGAGATAGCTGAAGCAATTATCTTGAATGATTTTAGAGAAGTTACAGAGAATACATGTTACAGTGATATTAAAAACCCAGATACGAGCAAAGAAGCAAATGAGTTTTTTAAAGAAGAACAAAACTTTCCTTGTATAGATCAAGTTGATAAAGACGTTTCAATAAATCAAGAAGAGACAATATATTCTATACAAGAAGTAAACTCTTGCGATATTAAAGAACAGATATTGCCACCTCCTGAGCGAAGTCTCGTAAAGGATAAACATTCCAAAGTGTGTAAGAATTTAAATAATATTTTTGAAGAACAAGATAAGCGAGAAACGATAAGTTTGTCTAATCAAGAAAGTAATAATTTTCCTCGTTTGAATCAAGTCGATAATAATGTAGATGTTAACTCGATAAGTCAAGATGAGGTACAGCTTATAAAAGCAGAAGAATCACCACACCAAAACAGCCTTGCAAAAGTTTTACATTCCACAGGAGAAGAAGACAAACAGAATTCCTCTAAAGAACAAAATAATGTGAGTGTTTCGACGAATCAAAAAGATATGATACATTTTATGCAGACACCAGATCTGTTTGACGTTCAAATACAAGAAATCTCATCTTCTAAACAAAGTCCTCGAAATAATGTACATTCAAAGATTTGTAATAATATTTCACAGGACAAAAACAACAGACAAATACAAGTAGTTTCTAATCAAGAAAATTCTTGTGATTTAAATGCCAGTGATAAGAATACAGAATCCGATACAATAAGTCAAGAAAATACGATACATTGTACGAAGACGGAAGAATTTTCTGATGCAAGACCGACTACTGAGCAGAGTCCTAAAACCGATGTGCTTTCTCCTAAACAAAATCAAGAACAAGATATCTATTCTTGCATTGATATTTCGGAAGAACAAAATAATGAAGAAGTAAAAGAGTTTGTTGAACAAGTAGATGAAGAATTGACAAATTACTCAATAAATAACGAAGATAAGACACCTGTTACAAAATCAGAAGTCACGTGTAATACCGCAAAAGAGCAATTGTCACTTAGAGTTACAGGTTGCGAAATCATTAATACAAAATACAGAATAGATAAGAGAATTGATGATGTCAGTGATAACGTTGATAAAATTGACAATAGTTTAATCGATGAATGTAGTCCTATAAAAAATAATATGTTAATAAATTCTACAAATGTTAGTGATTACAATATTGATAAAAACGCAATATCAGAAATTGATTACGAGAAGAACGATGAATGTTATATATCGCGAGCTAGAAAACGGCGTGAACAACTGGAGAGATTAAATTTAGTCGTATGTAGTGATTCCAGTGAAAGCGATGACACAACCGAACATAATATAAACTTTAACAAATCTTTCATAAATAATAGATCGTTGATAAATAAAGAAAATGTGTGTGACGAGAGTAACCATTGCAACAACAGACAAAGCATTGGTGCTGAGACTAGGAGATTTAATTCTCACGAAGAGAATGTGGAAATATCAACGAATAGACCATGTAATGTAAGTAATTGTGAATATTAAATTAATAATTATATGTTCTGTGAAATATATCCGTTCAGACAACCCTCAAATATACATCTTCACATTGTTAAAAAAAATCTATGATATGTCTACAATCGTGTGAATATAATTTCACCCGACAATGTCTGTCGTTGTTTTTAGTTACAAGAACTAGTGGAGAATGAAAAATTAGTTGCGGAAACAATGCCGCCGACTTTGACGCTGGCAGATATTTCTGATGAGGAAGAAGCATACATCTTAAATATTCCACCTAAGGTATGTACAATTTTATAAAATTATATTTGAATATTGTGTGCGTGAATTGTTATGTCTCATTTCTTATAACAAACAATTTAGAATTAATCTGAAAATATAATTGAAACAATTAAAATATATATTATTGATGAAAATAAATAAAAAAATTTTACCTAATGTGGATTTATGACAGAATTTGAGTAATACGTAAAATAATATATATATATATATACATGTGTACATTATATAACATATAAATTACTTTTCAGCTGCTAGAATGCAATTTGAAAAACCAGCTATTGACATTAAAAGAGAACACGATAAAATTCGGCAAAACTAAATATAGAATCGCAGACAAACGAGTGAATACTATTTCCTGGGTTTTTGCTACTGGTAAGAAACGGAAACCTTATAGGATAGGTAAGCACATTTCCTTCTTTTAATCAATAAAAGTTTTTTTTCTTCTGCATAACATCTGTGAATCAAAGATGTATACAGCACATGCATAAGTATTTTAATAAACAATCAAACACATAGCATGCAATATATTATACACGAGTTCAATAATAAGGCATTTTAGTTTTTTTTTTTTAATGTTACTATCGTTTACACATTCTTTTTCACATTCTTTTTCACTGTAGTAAATCTGAACAATATCAGTACTATTACCGTACTGGACAACGCGTCACATTGCTCAAAGACAGCTTCTCGTGATGTTGTTGCATCTTCCGAGACGGATAGAAATAAACGACAGGAAAAGAAATCGAACTTAAAAATGTCAAAAATCTTAAAGCACAATAATCGCAAACGAAACAACTCAGGTAAAATAATGTTACCTAATGTATAATACACTTCTTTTTTGGAACTGATTATTAGTGCCGGATCACAGTCGTGATACGATTTGAGAAATCTATCAAAACTTTTGCGTTCATTTGTATAATACAATTTTGTATCATAAGAAACTCTTTCAAACCATGCTATATTCTTTTCAGATGTTATAGTTGGTCCTGCACTGAAGAAAAGATGCAATTAAAAGTATATATACATATTATATAAGTGTATATTTATTCTTACATTATCAAATAATCCAAAGAAAACAAATTTAAATATAGAAATACTATTTATAATGACTATGTGATAGAGTATTGATCTATATGTACATTATATATATATATATTCTGTAAATATTTAAATACTTTTAGTTTTGTTTTAGTAGTTCTTTCTGTATAAACATTTAAATAGTATACTCATAATATATTACCGATATATGTTTATATACAAAACAAGTATTACTATTTATTTCTTTTTCATTTAATTTTTATTCATAATTTTATTTATAATTTTATAAGTTTTTTTTTATAGATTTTTACTACTGGCAATGACCATATATATATATATATAGTAGATCGATTTGCGGTCTTGGAACACTTTTTCTGGCTTCGAAATTTTGTAATGTACAGTTTTTATAATAGAAGTTTTGAATAAATCGACTTGCAAATTATAATTTTTGTATGTATGTACATGCATAATTTTTGTAAAGCGGGTGATGGTCGGTTGATATCATCATATGGAACTTGCTCTTTCACTTTTCTGCCGTTTCTCAGGCAGCAGTGTCGCGCAGCAGTTGTTTGCGGTTTGCGAATCAGTTTTGACTTTTGATCAATTTGTCATTTTAACATATAGTGACATATATACATCTTTATTATTTTCTTTAATTACGTGTGTGTGTGTGTGTGTGTGTGTTGAATAGAATATTAGATATTTAAAAACTTGGAAGCAGACGTCAAAAGTGATTAATGTATTACGATGCTGCGTAAATGCAAACGTCTCCGATCCTGAATAGGATTCTCTTCTCTCATCGAGATTTATACAAATTAAAAGATCTTTGATAATTTAAATGAACGTTGAATTTTGTATCTTTAAATATGTATCTAGTTGGATTGACAGGTGGCATAGCTACTGGCAAGAGTACAGTTGCTGATGTTTTTCGAGAACATGGTATTCCAGTTATAGATGCTGATGCAATTGCCCGGAAAGGTTAGAATGATTTGCATTTAACAAGTCATTGTTAACTGTAAATAGTATTAATATGTAAATTTCTTTTTTATAAATACAATTCAACAAACTTATTCAAGAGAACTTTGACACATGTGTACACAACAGAAAATAGCAGAAGTTGAGTAGAAGAAATATATAGATATTTGTATTTACAGTTGTTGAACCAGGGAAGCCAGCATGGCATAAAATACAAAAAGAATTTGGGCCAGATGTGTTTTTAGATACAAAATATTTGGACAGAGCAAAACTTGGCGATTTAATCTTTAATGATATTGAAAAGAGAAAACAACTTAATGCCATCACGCATCCTGAAATATACAAACATATATACTGGCAAACTATTAAATACTTTTTACAAGGTTATTCATTTGTAGTGTTGGATTTGCCACTGCTTTTTGAGACAGGACATATGTTGAATTATTTACACAAAATTATTGTTGTAACATGGTAAGTGCAAATTGCAAAATTAGTTTTCAAACAAAAAGATCACAAATAAATATTATTTTTTAAATGTTATTTGCATCTTTGTTTATTGCTTCTAGTGAAGAAGATCTTCAGCTGCAACGATTGATAGAACGTACTGGATTTACGGAAGCCAAAGCAAAACTAAGAATAAATGCACAAATGTCATTGGAGAAGAAAGCAGAAATGGCAAATTTTGTAATTGAGAACTCAGGTAGCTTAAAAGATACTATGGAACAGACGATAAAAGTGATTAATGTATTACGATGTTCCAAACATCACTGGAAATTGCGTTTTATAGTTGGATTTTGTTGTACCATGCTGTTAGCTGGCGCATACTGGTTACGAAACAGAAGTTTCAGACCTTCATCTTTGATTTAAATTATTTTCTAATAGATTTTTTTATAAATAAACGTTTGCTGTGCTTAATTACGGTTGCATACCACAGATGAATTGCAGTGAATTTTTGCACGTAAGGGATCAGGGAAAAGCAGGAAATAGGGAGCGCATGAGAAAAAGAAGAAAGTGCATGTTAATTATATTTACATACCGAAAACAGAGTTATTTGTGTTTTTATAAAACGTTAAGTGCAATGTGCTAAAGATGCAAAAGGAACGATATGATATAATTAGGTGTAAGAAAAGATATCAGCTGTAAAATGATTTTGAATTTTTGATAGGGAACCCCCGTCTAATATAAGATAGATATTTCATATAAAAGTTTCTTCGAAAATCAATAAATATTGTTTCTCAAATGCGCAGTTGTTATTGTGACTCACCTTCTGTACTTGTTTTTTTGTGTAGTTCTTTCTACTGATTTTTTTTTGCTTTTTTTGTTTAGTACATTTTTTTATTTTTACGGTTGCATTGTTTACAAATCTAGAGATTGTTCTTTCTTCACGAGTCATTGTTAGACGTATATTTTCTTGCTTCTGATATTCATAATTTATAATCTAATACAATCCCATTATTATATTGTTATTACTTTGTTACATAAAAAAATCATACTTTTTCAAGAGAATGTATGTAGGAAAAAAATCATTATTGATCTTTCTTTTTTTTTTTTTTTTAATAATCAAGTGCTATTTGACGCAAATGTATACGTCAAAAGATTATACAATTTGTATACACGTATAGTGCTCATTTTCTTATATTAAATTATCGCAAAATATATATACAAGAATATCAAATTGTGACTGATAACGTGACTTAAAATTAGAACGCACGCCCATTTCCCAGTTCACATTTCTTGTACATCTGTACAATTTATGTGGAATTTACGCGATCGTACATTGCTCTATATACGAAGTTTTTTAATTGCTATATTACACAATGCTCCTTATTACTAATGTCAACAGCGTGCTTGTGTAGAGTATTAAAAGTAAAATGATAGAAAGCAATACAGTATCGTAATACATATATAAGTACTTGAGTAAAATATTATAAGAGAGTGACACTCGCTAATAATTACGACGATAGAAATATATTTTTTTCTTACGTGTAAATAAAGAAGCACAACAAAAATATGTGCATCGTGCGTAGAAAAGATTTCCGTGAAACCGGCTCGAAAAAGCTGCGCGACCTTCCTTTCAGGACATTTTTGTTGTACTTATGCTCAATATGGTGTAGCCTTATGAGATATTTTTTTACTTTTTTTTTATTTCCTATTTAAATTTACACCTTTTCCTAACCATTTTTTTCCCCGATCCGCTTGAACAATCAACTTTGTTAAAGAAATTTTGACTCACTCTTGTAACACTACGATGAGATTAATATGACGCTACATATGGTATACTATATGTATGTAATTAAAAAAACAACGATAATTAAATACGAAGGAACATAAATGTCATAATTATTTTTGCAATTACTTTTTGTGATTAGATTGTCGCTTCTATTTTCTATTATGTTTTAGACATGTCTGCCTATTCAATCGACAGTTCACAAACAGTAATCGATTAATATATTTCCAACACAGGTTATAAATATATTCACAGATCGAACCAGAAGAAACCTATATTTAGAGAACGCTGTCTGTATGCAGATTCGAATTACACTGAGAAATGGAAATAAAAAACTCGACGTATATATTTTAAACAAAAAAAATTCTTCTAGACATTCGTTCTGTATTTTATGATGCGATCTTCGTACAGATATATATATATTCGCGTAGATAAGACTTTAGAACAGGTTACGTCAACAACAAATACAAATTAGTTTTTGCATTCATCAGGTGCGATACACTATATCAACCCACAGCCACTGGTTTCTTCGTCTTCTGCAAGTACTTTCGTTCGCAAGGTCAATATAAATTTAAGTTTTGGAAGATGGACGCATATTATACGATTTATTTGCTCGAATATTTACTGTGAATGTAAATTTATTGCAAGACAGGCCTAAGTTCTTGAGTCATAATAGGATAAGAAACGAGGGGTGCAGTCGCGCCGGATATCGACAGAGGTAAACTAGCAGGTTGTTGTGTGTTGGGCGGTTGCTGATTAGTCGCTTGAGGAGGTCCGGAGCCACTCATCGAGATTGTTTGTTGAGCCATAGTGACGATCGGTGGCGGTATCGAGACCGGAGCCATCGAGACAGCTGCAATAGAGACAGGTGCTACGGTAGCGATGCTCACAGGAACGGTAGCTACACTGGCAGTAACTGTCCGAAGAGTACCTGCAGCCACAGCCGCGTTAACCATTTGCTGAGGCGTCGGAGCTTGCGACGGTGGAACTGTGTTCGTGATCGTGACCGCAGGGACTGTGACAGCTGTCACGTTTGCAGTTCGCTTGCCCGACATTCTCAGCTGAGCATTTTGATCCAATAAAAATTCATTCGTCGCTGTTAAGTCGCTGACCTAAGCAAAAAAAAAACAAAAATAGTAGATAAAAAATTAAAATCTCTCAATGCTTTCTCTATATCTGTAACATACTTGTTTCTTCAATTCTTCAATTTTTTTCCTCAACAATGCATTCTCATCTTCCAGTACGATCGCCCGTGCCTCGTTGCGCGGTATCACGGGATAATAGTAACCTGGCGTAACCGTGGGTTGAGTAGCGTGTTGCTGACTAACAAGCGGCGAAGCTTCGAAATGAACAACCGTCTCACCCGACACTATTCGTCTTTTGGGTTCCGGCGGTCCCATGTAATCAGCTGGATGTGACGATGCGTTATAGCCACCGTTACTGGTGACCAAATTGTTGTGCTGATCTTCTATTTGCCAGTGAAAACTACAAAGTATTTACAAGAACAAAACAAAATTTATTAAACGTATAAGAAATTCGCTTTTTTCTTTTTATTTTCTTCTCAAGTAAGATTTAAACTAACGAGTGCAATTTGACTTCTCATAAATATGCATGTAAAGATAAAACAACAGTTGTGATATTTACTTCCTGTCTTCTTCGTATCTGCGATTATCGTTACCGGCGCCAGTGCCGTTGCTGGTGCCGTTAAAATTATGTTGCGGCCTGGACGCGTTGTGATGCGACGGCGACATGATATTGTGCTGCGGCTCCTCCTTCTTCCAATGCCGAAACTTGCAGTTTGCTCTCTGGCAGCTGCCCTTGATAAAATCCTTGCATAACGTAAACTCCGACTTGTCGTTGTTGCCGGTCTTGGAGCGACTGAGGACGTGAGGCGGCAATTCGCCGGTCGCCCGAAAACGTTTCTCTTCGCTCTCGGTGCAGTGGAGAAATTTGCAACCCGGCCAGTTGCACATGCCGTTTTGAAAATCGTGACAGAACGTGTACTCCTCCACGGGATCGTCCTCGGAACGCTCGTGCAGATACTTGCAACGTTTCCCGCGATGACACACATTCCTCAGAAAGTCTCTGCAGATGCGGTTCGGGGAGTCAGAGACGTCAGTTGCGTTCGCGTTCAATCCGCCCGCCATCCCCGCAACGTTCCCAACCGTTCTATTAGTATCCAACTTTTTCTTCAGCTTTTTCATCGATAAAGCATAGCGATCTCACGTCGCGCCGTTTTCGCTCTTTTCGCACTTTCGATCAACTGGCAAATTGGCGTGTACTATGTATATTATCTCCTTGAACAAAGAAAACAGACAAGGAATTGTAAGTTAAGAGTTGGCGTGTTGGAGAAGAAGAGAGGAAACAATCGTTGTTTAATTTCGTCTGTGACAAACACAACGTACATACTTACGATTCTCGAAATTGATAAATTACATGGTCGACATAAAGTAGAACAGCACTTGCTCGAAATATAGAAACGACATGGACACAAGGGGATTATCGAAAAGAAATAAACAAGATTTTTCTTCAACTTGTTGTAATGAATTAAGTTAAATTTTTATTCTTTATTTTCTCTTTTTTTTTATATAATGACTATTACATCGGTAGTAAGATTATATTAACAATACTATATACAGCATTTGTTTATTTACCATATTTTTTTTTTAACGTATTTATTTTATAATTTTATCTACACGCTCGATTTGCCAACAAAGTTTTTTTGTTTTTTTGCATATAAACGAACAACCGCGGCTTGCGGCGTACTTTTTGGCAAATATCACGCATATAATTGTTCTCGTTTTTCTTTTCCCATCTCGCGACGTACAATAATCCGTTAATTCAATAATTTAAAAATTCTAAGACGCGCCCGCACTCGCGAGCGACATGGCACTCTCTAACTAAACCCTAACGAATTAGGAAAATACTATTAAATTTTTTCGTCACCATTTTTTTTTCTTGTTGTATCAAAAGAATCAATAGAAAACTACAATTACATCAGGTATTATCATTATTACATTATTATTACTTTTTTTTTCTTTTATCGCTTTACGATGTGATATATCAAGGCCATTCCCAAAAGATAAGAGATAGAAATTCGTTCGGTTCAAGTTGAAATTCGCATTTCTTCTTCGAAAGGGAAGAATAATTCATTCATCATTTCTTATTAGGTCGCTCGAATAGATATGCACTTGTGTTCTCCTCCATTTGCGCACGAGAGAGAGACGCACGCAGAAAGAAGCAATCGTGCGTTGTTCGACGAGGTTCGGAGAGAAGGGTTCTCTAAGATTCCACATTACGCGAGAGACGTCTTTCGCGATTCATCTTTTTGTTTTTTTTTGTCAAGCATAAATTTTAGAAGAGACGCGAAAATAACTTTTGTTAAAATATAATACGTTAGCACGTTTGTGAACGCGAAGATTGATCTTTTTTCTATCTGGTCTTTTTTCCTTTGAAAGTTATTTTTTTTCTTTTTCTTTTTTTTTTTTTTAAATTGTCAATATGTCGCCCTCAACGACAGAGTTTGAAACGAGCGTGATTTGAGAACTCGAGCGAGAATAAATATGTCGAACGATACATTTCGTTTTGCGCATAAATTCTTTTTTACAAATTATTTGTTTGTTTTATACACACACACACACGCACACACGCACGCAGACAAACATGCACACACAAAAAGTTTGCAGAGTAAAAATGTAAAATGTATTCTTAGATAATTCCAAAAAAAAAAAAAAATGCACATGAGCACAGACGCAAGTATTACGTATAGACCGAGCATCTTCACACATAACGCAAGCAGTGCTTTGCTGATAAAGCATCTTCTGAGTCGTTTCGCGAGAGAGAAAAGCTCCCTCTTTCTCTCTCTCTCTCTCTCTCTCTCTCTCTCTCTCCACGTTCTCTTTCAGCTGCTATCCGTCGTCGACGGCTGGACTATGGAAATAAAAAAACGGCGCATAGAAGAACCTCTTGCCGCGAAGGTTAGCGTTAATGTCTTCACATTTGTTTGATCTCTCAACATTTTCTATCGGATGCTTCGCGTTTGGAGTGTCATAATGACAATGTTCTTTTATTCAGAACGACACGCGGTCGTGCCGCGCGAAATTCTCTCTTCGCGTCCAATTAGAAATATCAAGACTGTTTTTTCCAAAATCTAACAAATGTAAAGGCGCACCAACGCAGCCGGAGCGGTGTACGTTTCCCCGAGAAAAGATTGCTGGAAAATTCGGAAGCTCCTCCTCGCGCTTTCTTCTGTCGTAGAGAAAGACGGAGATTCTTTTCTATTGTTCTTTTTTTTTTTTACATCTCGAAGTCTCGGACTATACATACGTACTGGTGTCCGTACATGTATGCAATAATGTTTTTTTTCTTTTTTGGAAACTTCATTCGAAAGACATTTCTATAATTGTCAGAGAGTACACTGTGTTTTTTTTTGGATACGCGCGGACAAATTGTTTGAACGAATCGATGTGCGATGACGTAACATTGTACATCGGACTTGAGCCGTATTACAAAGATATGATACTTCGGTGTGTAGCTCTTGGCAGCATGTTGAACATTTTCATGTGGTATCGCACTCCGCGTTCTTCGCCCTCCCTTCCCCCCGCTCCCCCGCCCCAAATTACTTTTACTCTTGCGCTCAGACTACTCGTTCGATACACATGTATATCCGAACGCGATCCTTATCTCACCTTTGACCTTGCCTCTCCTTTGCAGAGCGTGATATAACGCTCACTTAACGCGTTATGGTGATATATTACAAGAAATTTCCTAATCTCTTTTTTAATTGTTTTTTACGAACCGAGGATTAAAAAACACACACACGTGCGCGCGCGCGCACAGACAAGAGACGGACAGACAGACAGACACCGCGCAATATTGTTAACAGTTTGTATAAAAAAGAAAAAGACAATAATAATTATACTTGTGCTCGACTCGGTCGTTTTTTTATACGGATCAAAAGTTGAATTAGAACAAATAAACGTTTCTGTTTTTTTCCTCGTAAAAGTTTCCCTTGCATCGGATTACATTTACAAAAAAGAAGAACGAACGAAACATTAAATGAAATAAAACAATTGCGTATATGTATGTGTTGTATATATGTACAAATAGAAAGAAGTATCGTTAGAAGAGAAATATCGCATTAGAATATCTTCTCCAGCAACATCCACACGAGCATGATCGCGATCGGGGCGACGTAATGTATCGGCACGGTATAAGTCGCGCTGAGCAGATCGCCGCACTGTGCTTTCAGCGACATGTATTTTTTCGAAAGCTCCGCTTTCTCCTCAACGAACGCGTTGTACTTTTCCTTAACGATCACCAGTTCCTCGTTGACTTCCTGCATACGCTGAACCTCGTTCTTCGCGCGATAATACAATTCCTTCAGCCTGTTGATAACGACCTCGTTCGGCTCGCGAATCAGCCAGTTCTTCAGTTCCTCCAGTTCCCTCTTGACTATCTGCTGCGCCTCCAGACTGTCCTCGCCCTGCAACGAGTCCAGAGATCCGATAAACGTCTGCAACACGTAATCCCTCGAGTTGAGAGCTTGTTGCATCGTGTCGTTCTTGATAATGGGTTTCAAGGTGTTGACGTAATCTCCCTCGACCACCCGTTCCTCGCATTCGGTTGCCGGCGCGGCGCTAACGCGCGTGACTTCCTCCCGACGCTCACTCTCGTCAGATTTGTCTATCGTCGTCGTGTCGACGACGGCAGTGTTGTCTAAAGTGTCATTAACTTCTTCCGTTGATATCTTCGGGATGTTATCGTCTTTGGCAATTTGCTCCGCCGGATCGCAATGCGCTTGTGACATTTCTTCACTCCGTCGCATTTTCTTACTAAGAGTGGACAATCGCTTAAACACCTTTTCCTTTGATATCTCCGGGATGTTATCGTCTTTGGCAATTTGTTCCTCCGGAACCCAATACGGTGCGGTCATTTTCTGACTCCATTGTATTTCCCCTTCCATCTCCATATAAGAAGTGGATAATCGCTTGGACACTTCTTCCGCTATATCCAATTCTTCTTTCTTCGTTTCTACAACCGATTCCTCGCTGCTGTTTTCGCTCATACTGCACATGTCGTCGGTGGCTTCCGAGCTCGTGTCCGAGTCTGCGTTCGTGTCGCTGTTGTCCAAGTTGGTCAAGTTTCCGTTAACTAAAGTTCTTCTGGACGATGATCGCGACGGCGGTGGCAGGATGTATTCCGTAAGACCGTCGTCCACGTTGATCTGCATGTCGTCCAGCTGATCTTTGGTGAATGACGACTCGGAACTGGGAGATTTGAGTTGCTTCAAATCAACATCCGGCGAATTGATCTGATTATCCTGCTCGTTCTTTGAGGGATAGAAATTAATCTCGCTGTCCACGTCGATGTTGTCGACGTGAATAGAGTTCATCGTGTTGAGAATGGTGTTTATCGCCTCGATCGGATTTTCACCGCTCTTCGAATCCAAATGCTCGCCCACTTCAAGCTTCAGATTCATATCCTGCAGAGTTTGCGCGTAATTCCTCAAAGCGGTAATCTGTTTATAAATATTCACGGAATCCAACTTGGAATCGCGCAATCTCGCCCGTAGATTCTTTTCGATTCTCGATTGATCTTCCAACCGTTTCGTGAGATCGCGTTTTTCTTGTTCCGCGCTGAGCAACGTGTCTTTCATCTTCTCCTCGCTCTCCGCAAGCTTGTTGGTGATCTCTTGAAGCTTCTTCTGCGCCTCGGTGTACTTGGCGCTTAGTTCCTGAAGTTCTGTCTGAGTGTACTTCGCTACGTTGTGCAAACTCTGGCACTCCTCCTCAGTTTCGTTCAGACGTCCCTCAAGCTGCACCAGCTTCTGAGTGACCTCCAATTTCTCCTGTAAAATCTTCTGCAACGCCTCCTTGGCGGCGTTCTGATACTGCGCCTTCTCATCCTGAAGCTTTGCTAGTTCGTTTCTTATCTTGTCTTCGGTGTAATTCTTCGAGTAGACCGCCAATTGGTTCTCGACTGTCACCACCCACGACAACAAACGGTCCTCCGTGATCAGCGCTTTCCACGACTGGTTAGCAGCTTTTCGCGTATTTTCCACTAATTGCTGTAGATAACCCAGTTTATTGTACAAAGCTTTCTCTCGTCTCGAAGCTTCTTGCATCACTTGATTCAGTTTGTAAAGATCTTCCAGAGATACGTTCCCGGCGGGCGAGCTGACGGAAGTGCTGAGACTGGCTTTGGCTTCCTTTCCATCTGGCAGATATAACTTTAACGTTGCCACTATACACCCGTGAGTAACCTTCTTTGTACTTTCTACAACGTCCACTCCGAATTGCACTATATCCCCGGAACACACTTCCTTGGGAGACGATTCTAATCCGGAAGCGCTTAGTCTCTGATTGTTGACAAACGTACCGTTGCTGCTGCTCGTGTCTTGCAGATAAAACTTGCCCGAGGAGTACCACAACAGTGCGTGATTTCTAGACAACACCTTGCAATCGAAGATTGCGTTGTTTGGCGCGGCTCTCGCTCTGGCCACCGAACGACCGATCTTCACTGGCTGCTCCAAAGTTAAGGTGCGCTCCTGAAAAGGATGAGAATTGTCCCGACAGATCAGGACACCCTTGGCGGTCATTTTGTTGTTGTTGTTGGCGTTGTTGTTGTTATTGTTATTATTGTTTTGCGTATTGTTCTGTGTATTCAGGTTGGAATTGTTGTTCTGTCCAGCGGGTAAACTGGCATTTTGTACCCACGCACTGCAGCTAACTACAACCATAGCCGATATGCGATAGATATATAAGCGCGTGCGAGTCTTTTTCTTTAACGGAACGTCGTCCGAAAATGTAACGTCCGAGATTATCGGCTGCGTGACACCGATCCACCTTGGTTGCGTGTTTGCTTCTCGAGTTAAACGCGTGGGACGTGCGCTCCGACTTGAAGCTCGGTCACGAGGATCGCGGAATGACCTTTTGCGACCTGCTGCACAGCTTGATCAGGCGTGATGACATTGCACTCGACATAATTTTATCTCGTATATATTGTCCAGCGGCCGTTTACACTTCCACAGTCTTTATTTTCGTTCGAGATGACTTTCTCTTCTCGTTCAATCAGCACTCAATATCTATGGACCTCGGAAGACCGAGCAGCAGCCCGAGGAAACGATGCGCGCGCGCGCGCACGCACGCACGCACGCACACGCATGCACGCACATACATATATATGAATACACGTATATGTACACACATACACACACACACACAGACGCGAATCGATCAGAGTCGGTGATTTTCCACGATCGGAAGCTGAAAAGCTGTAAGAGACAAAATGCTCTTTCGTTCTCTCGACGAGACGTTTCGTCTCTCTCTCTCGCGCGCACACACACACCAACCACACGGTTCGGGCTCTAATTTCTCTCGTCGTCCGTGCAGTTCCGCGTTCGTTTTTCTCACCACATGCGAGCTCGCACACTCTCGTCTCCTCGACGCGCGAACGGAAACACAACGTGTCACACCGAGGGGTGAGGTCGAAATCTGCGCCTCGGACTTTCGCGATCGTATCGGAAAATATTGTTCGCGAACGCGGACTTGCGGTTTCCCCGTAAAAATACAATGGTTCACGTTCCTCCGATCCGAAGTCGTTTTTAGTTCCGCGTTCTACTGTTCTCAGCCAGCGCCACAAGGGCGCGGGCGATGCAAAATATATCTACCTTACCTGCATACACACGTATACATATACCACGTATGTATGTGGTAGCTCTATTTTGCATAAAAAAATAGAACACACTTGCGAACGTGAACAAGTAAAAATTTTGCGATCGCACGAGTATTTTAACTCAAATAACGGAGCTTGAGTTTTTCGATATGTGCAATATCTAACGTCGGAAAATTTCTACAGAAAGTTTATTCGAGAAGAGATCGATGTTTCTAACGAGAATAGTAATCTATCGAAAAAGCGAGACATAACCTAATTTAATTACGCGCAAGCAGTGCGTCAAACGTTTACACGTGAAATGTATTGTATTGTAAATTAATTTTGTTGATGTATATAAATTATTTATTTACACAAAATAAATAATCACATCAGTATATAAAATCGTGATAAGAATCCTTGAGGTATCTTGAGTAAACAATTGTTCCTTGTATATTATTGATAAAATCTGATAAATTTTGTGATAGCTTATTGCTCTTTGTTTTCAGTGATTTAAATAATAATTTTGTACATCTGTCAAACAACATCAGTTTGTCCACAAGCTATTAAACTCGCATCAAAGATGTCGGACGAGGAGGATTATATGTCTGATAAATTTCTCCAGAGCTCTGAGAAGCAAGTTTCCTCGAGTCTGATATACAAACATTCCGAAAGAAGACAAGTTACATTAATGAAGAGAAAAGCAGAAATCGAGTCAAGAATGAAGGAACAAAATAAATCGATAAAAGTAGTTGAAGCCGAAAAAAGAGAAGAAGGTTTATCATCTGCCATCAGTTGTGAAAATAAAGGTCTGTATATATTTGCCTCAGTGTGTGTGTGTGTATGTACATGAGACAGGTGATATGAGAGAATCGCTTTAATAAAATAAATCTATTTTTAAAAATTAACTTTAATTGTGAAAAATAATTTAATGTGATTTTCATTTTGTTTCTAGGTTTTGAAATGTTAATGAAGATGGGATACAAACCTGGTCACGGCATAGGCAAGACTCAATCAGGAATAGTTGAACCAATTTCTGTTGAAGTAAAAGCAGACAGACAAGGTTTAGGCAAGACAGTTAAAACAAAAAAATCACACAATCCAAAGACTTCACATATGAAATTAGACAATATGGACACAAGAGACTTCCGTAGCAGATTGGCGCAAGAAAAAACTGAGCAGTTGCAAAAAAGTGATTTACGTAAGAGTCAGAAGGTGTGTCAAGAATTGGACACCAAGGGAAGCATTGAGAAGCCTCAAGAATCGTGGTTTTGGCCGCGAAACGAAGAAGAAAAGGAAGCAGCCGATGAAGCTGACGATGAACAACAACCGGACAATATCGATGAAGACGATGAATCTCTCAGTGATTTCGAGAAACTTGAAATTCTTACTCGATATTTAAGAAAGACACATTTTTATTGTATCTGGTGCGGGACGAGATTCGACGACGAAGACGATTTGAGAGACAATTGTCCAGGATGTACAAGAAATGATCATTGATATACAAATGTGTGCGACTACTTTTACTGTGCATTAAAATAAATACTATCAAGAAATTTTTCGAAAACATTTGTCCAATAGAATATTAACGTCAAAAGAAAGCCGGTCTAAATTAAACCACACAGACACTCTCTACATAGACAGAAGACATAAAAAATCCATTAACTGCGACATGATAAAAAAAAATTAAAAAAAAAAGTCTTAAGCGAGAAAAACTCGAGCACCCTGAGAGCGTAAGAGTTGTTTCGCTCCATCCCTCGAACCTTGTTGAACGGTGTTATTAAGGCAGCAGGGGATCACTATGACCCCTGGCTTTTACATACTCTGAAGAAAGCGGGAGACATTGCCTATAAAAGCGTCCGTTTGATTTTCTCCTCTTTCATTTTATTCGAAAACTTGCAGCGACTCTTTTCTATCCCTCTTTTTCCTTAAACAAACGAAGCGTAAATGATAATGCCAATAATCCTCAAGTTTTTGATAATTTTGATGATTCACGCTGCCGTTAGCGATGCCGAGACAATTGAAATGGACGATGAGAATTGCGAGACTCTGCAATCAGAAGTACATATTACCAAGGACGAATACGACGAGATACAAGGACGTCTGAGACGAACTTGTAGCGGCGATGTGACCGTCGCGAAATGCGAAGGATTTTGCAATTCGCAGGTTCAACCGAGCGTTGTCACCACTACGGGATTTTCGAAAGTAAGTTCTAATCGTGATGTGAAAAAAAAAAAAAAACTTATTTCGAGTAAATTATGTAATTATATATATTTTTTTCACTTATAACAGGAGTGCTATTGCTGTCGCGAGAGTTACATGAAGGAAAGACTTGTTGTGCTAAATCATTGCTACGACGCAGATGGGATAAAACTGACAAATATCGAAGACGAGATCATGGAAATCAAGATACGAGAACCTGCCGAATGTAAATGCATCAAATGCGGCGAGCCGGGGAGATAAAAGAAGAACAACGCAAGACATTCGGAAGAATACAAAATTACATATGATCTTGAAAATTAAATTATGATACATTGTGTAATAGAATTATGTCACTTGTGGTAGACAAAAAAAAATTAAAAACATGTAACCAAAACAAAGAAATAAATTTGTTTTTCTGATACATTACTGTATAAAATGCATCTATTTCTAATCCCTCGCGTATGTTGTCACATATTTTGTTTTGTGATAAATGCAAGAACTTCTAAAGGTCAATTGCTTTAAACCTTTAAGCATCAGAGATATTAATATACTCGTAGGGTAAAATAACCAATGATTGGCACACTTTAAGAATCTGTCAGTGTTTTTTCCTCAAGAATGCAAATTCAAGGACTCTAAAATATTGTCATAAAAAATCTAAATAAAACGTAAAAAGTAACTATAGACAAAAAATGTCAACTAGAAAAAATCAACAAACGCCAATCATCAAAGAGATGCTAACTATAAATAATGTAACACGTGTTTTAACTAAATTATATAAATATCTTTTATCTTTATAATAAAACAATTTTTTTCTTGCTTACGATGAAGTAATTTTTTCTGCACAGAAGTATCAAGTATTTTCATCGAAAACTTATTGGAAAATTTTTTCTAAGTTTGACCGACTTTGATTGGTTCAATTGCTTGATCAACCAATTGTTCGATCGCTCGTAAGAGTAACCAGTTTTCCAACTCTTGCGAAAGATACGCACTTCATTTTTCTCATTTTATTTCGAACTAAAAGTGTGTTTGACAATCAACTTTACATATGTCTTTAATATGGATACCTTGGCTGTTAAATGATTTAAATGTACAAAATTATGCAAACTTGAACCATCATAAATAGAAAAAATGAAATTCGTCTTTGCAAGTTTCTTGCATATATATCATGTTTTACAATAAAAAAATGAATTATGCCAGTAAAAAGACATAAGAATTGTATCACATAAAATTGTTGCCACACGATTCCTGAACTATAAAAGTTAACATAAGTTTTACGAAAAAGATATATTTTTTCATAATTTTATCTTGAAACAGTGAAAGAATAATGTAACATTTTTAATTTATACTACAGTATAAACAATTTCAACATATCTTCTATAAGATATTTGCAAAATTCATAATTTAAAATAAATATTGTTTACTTTCCGAAAATGTTGTTGAACAATAACATTTACACAATGATGACAAAAGTAAGATAATTTTTTCTTAAAAATAAAATTTTTGGAAAAAGTAAAATTCAAAAATTACACACTATTTATATCATGTGTGTGTATTAGAATTTGCAATCATAAATAAAAAAGGTACTGTAATAAAACAAAATCTAATTCAGGAGCTATATGTTGTACAAATATAAAAAGAAATCATGTCAGAAAAATTTTCCTTATGCATGTTCCTTGTATACGTATCGATAGAAATCATCAGATAAAATATAATGGCCGAGAAAGAAGGGGAAAAATACAGCCCCCTATGGTGTATAAAAGCTTAGGAAGCGAGACTTACAAACACAGTAAAGTGCCAACAAGGAAAGGATGTACTGTTCGAGAAGCAAACTCTTCAGTCACATTGGTGAATAAGCAATCAGTATTTTTGATGAGAGCATATTTATAAACCAACCAAAATCCAAATTTCCTTGTTGTTTTCTTTTTTCTGTGATATATTCTATATAAAGTAAATAACATTATAAGAATTAAAACGTATCTACTTACTATGCGCAGTAATCAATGGACTTCTGATCTGCCTGTTATGTCAGAATGTGAAAGCAATTGTTGGAGTTGACGAGTGTCAGACAACGAGAGTGATACACTTTCTCGAGTATCCTGGTTGCGTTCCAAAACCAATTCCGAGTTATGCGTGCAGAGGACGTTGCAGCAGTTATCTGCAAGTAAGATATAAACAAATCAAGGACACGAAACAATAACAAATCTCATTATTAAAAACACATTAAAGTCCGTTTCGAATAAGAATTGTACTGTAAGTAAACAAAAACAACCAACATATAGACTTGACAGATAAGCAGTACTGTTTTGATTGACAAGAGTTCGTTGCAAGCAAATAAACCACAAACAATATATTACGCTACGAGAAATACTCACGACGAGACATATTGAAACACAATATCCCGCACAAGTATTTCCAAAACTATGCAACAATCCATTGTGTGCAAGTTTATTGTTTGCAAAAGAATTACACGATCAAGTCTCAATACAAGATGCGTGCAGAGACACACCGTGCGAAAGAATACAAGTAGTTAGTGTGAGAGAATATTTATACGAGTAATTTTTTTTTTCTGTTATTCAACGTTTTTATCTGTTATTCTTTTTATGCAACGAACGAGAACGTGTGTGCATGTATGTATGAGTGTACGTACGTGTGTGCGTGCGCGCGCACAAAAGAGAAAGAAAAAAACACAACAAATGTCGCACGAAGATTCACAGTTATTATTTCAGCTTGTTGACGTGCACGTATAGGTGTCCGGCTCCAAGATGTGGCAAATGGAGAGGAGCTGCATGTGTTGTCAGGAAAGCGGTGAGAGAGAGGCTAGTGTGTCACTGTTCTGTCCGAGGGCTAAGCCAGGAGAGAAGAAGTTCCGCAAGGTGAGATTTCTATCTCTTCCGAATCACCGTAGATGATCAGTCTGATAATCGCGTGTTGCGAGCGCGTCACTTGCGATGAATCGCTCGTCTTTTCACCTCAACGATCACTCGGGATTGAAAGCAATTTAAGAAGGAAGCTTCTGACACCACGAGTTTCGCACATCCATGTTGTTTTCATGCGCGGCCGATCGCCGGCCAATCAAAGATCAAACTTTGTCAAAATGGTTGCGGAAGTCACCGCTTGGTTAAAGGCTGTTGCACATGTGTGAAAAACAGTATTTCGAGATTCGAGACGTCTCCATTGCCGCGTTTTGATTCCGATTGAGTTTATCCACTCGTGTTTGTCAAATCTTCGTCGTATAAAGAAAAAACGCAGTGAAATCGGTCGACTCCGTTAATTGGATCGTAACCATTGAACCAATCAGCTGGCTTTGCCATTAGACCGCCGATACTCGACAATACCCCCATACTCGTTGTAAAACAGCCCTAAGCGCTGACTTCCAGAACTAACAAATCAACGTCGAGTGTCGACGAGACCACGCAGTTTATTTTAAATCGAATGAACGGACAAGCCTTTACGAGTTAAACTTTTTTTCTTTTTGCACGCTTTTTTTGAAAGAGAAGTTTAAAAGATAGTTTTATGAAGACTGGGACGGGGCATTGAGATGGTTCACTGGTCAACCACGAAAGATATTTAAGAATTAATACGCTTTTTAATTTTACTTTTATTTGTCCTTGTCGCACGGTACGTATAAATTGTTGTTAAGCGATTTNTACATGTGTATGTAAACAGGTTTTCTAATGAGTTCCGTGTTCCGTTCGACAGGTGATCACCAAGGCGCCTTTGGAATGCATGTGTCGACCGTGCACCAGCGTAGAGGAATACGCGATAGTCCCTCAGGAAATCGCAGGATTTGCCGATGAGGGTCCGTTTGCGACGTCCGCGCATTTCAGACGATCTTCTGGCTTACAGTAGAGATATACATCTTCTCCTTAGAGAGAAATTTATGAATTATTCTTCGGTCGCCGACGAATTTCGCGCTGATAAATATGTAAGACGCAACTTATTATCTTATTATTATTACTGCGATAAACAATTATACGGTATAAAATTCTCAAATGTGAGCATTTTATTACTTTTTGTTTTAGTCACAAACGAGTTAAGTATGTGAAATGTATGTGTGGAAAAATATATATATATATATACATACACACACACAAAATTTCTTTTCATATCAAAAATCTGAACGTGAACTTTTGAGTCTCGCGCGAGAGTAAAAACTTGGTAGTTGTGAGGGAAAGGAGTAAGAACGCATTCTTCTAAATAAGAGGTTCTGTAGTACGCGTGTCTAAGTCCTCGTTGACAAATCAAGAGAACCAACTCGAGAGAATAATCAACAACGTTTCTTTTTCGTCATAGAATTCCATTTTTTTATTTTTTTTAATAGATATGATTTATATCATAGAAGTGTATGTGTGTACCTATGCGACGTGTTTCGAGTTCTTTTTTTTCAGCGATAATCTTTGTTTATATCATGTATAATTTATATTTATATTTATATATATATATATAACCTTATATGCACACGCGTAAATACACGCAGTATATATATATATAAATTGTGAAAATATATATATATATATACACGCATGTCGATACACGAGAAAAAACGCGTCGGCGCGTCAAAAAGCTGTACGCGACATTGCGAGAGACAGCGCGAGCTCTCTCTTCCGCCGTCTTTTTTTCATCCTCCTCCTCTCCNCCCCAAAGAACATCCGTCCAGCACTCCTTTAGTCTTGTTCAATTTTATTTACAATGATAATCTTCTTTTAATCATTATTCACTTATCTATATTTTCAACAGTTTGACTTTATTCATATATAAATTAGTGTAATTTTTTTTTTGTTTAATCTGTGGTTCATAAAGTGCTTCGCACACATACGCACCCGCATTCACGCGCATCTTACACATTCTCTCTTCTTCCTTTTTTTTCTTTATCTGCACGTTCACCTCACTCTCTACTTCTTCAGTGTATGTAGCAGCTCTTTAATAAATGTATAGCTTATATATGTACCTTCGATTTTTTTATCGATCGCTAAAAAAAGGAAAAAGAAAAAATCGACCAAAAGAGCGTTTAATGTGCTTGATACATTTGTCGATATATTTACGGTTCGTAAAAACTGGTTTGTTTTTTTTTGCTTTGCACACATCTTGTATTCTTCTATTGAAAGAAAAAAAATTCGAGATAAAAAAAGTGTCTGCAACAAGCTTCAAAAAAGAGACAGACAAAAACTTGAGAATTTTCATAATAATAATAATAATAAAAAAAAAAGGTTTCCGGGATAGGATATGCGTAAAGTAGGAATCTTTAACAGATAACAAGTACATGTGTAACGTGTGTCTGAGTCGAGAGAAGAAAAATCGTGAAACAAATTTGCCGACTTTCATGTACATATATATATATATACTTAAATGCTATAATATGTATTTACATTTCTATATATATATACCTATATATATATATACATATATATACATATATATATATTTGGATGTGTTCTATAGTAATTTTAATTAAATTAACGTCGTCCGTACTTAATAAGTTGTTTTTCAAAAATGTGGATAGACGACTTTAGGAGAAGCAAGGAGAATATGTCGGTAGTCTTGCAAGAATATATCTCGTAAAGTTTTTTTATACGCGTCTATCCTCTTGTGATTTTACTTTTTCTAATAAATGTTTTAATATATCCTTAAGAGATATAAATTGCGTGGTCGGCGCTAACACAACGGATACCAAATAAACATTTAAAAAAACTGTTCCTTCGCAGATGTATATGTAGTCACATACACACACATACACGCGTGCGCTCGCGCTTATTCTCAATCGCTCCCATACGAGCACATTCGAAACTAAGTGAGCTCACGCTGTACTTCAGTTTATAATAACAATTTTTTACAATTTGCTACAGCATTTGCTTCACACGGTTCTATCCAAAAAAAAAAAAAAAGAAAAAAGTCCACGCAATGCGCCTTATTCTCCTATTTTTTTTTCTCCCTAAGTTTTACTTACTCTTCTCTTTCTCACATACATACAACAGCCCAAACAAACAAACAAACCACATACATACGACATATATACGTACTTACATACATATGCACATGCACACACATACATACATATATACATACATACACACATACCTAAGTGGCATATACCTTCGAGACATATTTAAGATCGAGAGTTGCCGAATTTCTATAGTCAGTTGCTTTATTTCGAAATAATTAGTCATTCCGATTGTATTACATAGTTTTCGAAGAAAACGGCGGTAAAAATTCGCTGATTTTACACAATATATAATACAGAAATTACGCAGAAATAAAGCGTCTAACTAAAAAAGTTAGGTAACTTCGATCTCAAAGAACGAAGGCATGTATCTCGATTAATGTTTGTTTGTACGTATGTACACACATACATANACACACGCATTCGTTCTTCCTCTCATTCTCCCATTTTCGTCCTTTCTGTGATTATAAATAGCTAGTGTTAAAAAATAGGACCTTAATATTCACACCATTTATCTCTCATTTAATGTGACCGTGTTTTTAGATTACAGATCCTAATTCTGTAATACACATATTCCTCGTGTCTATTCCCATCATCTGATTCGTCCTGTGTGTCGGCAATACCCTTTTTGTTTTTTGTTTTTTTTTGTTTTATAATACATGTTCTTATTTGCAAAGATATAAATTAATTCTGTTATATAATCCGTTACAATACATAATAGGAAGATCAATGTCACTGTCAATCAGACTTGATTTACATATTTTATATTTTATCCGCGGCGGCGGATAAAATATTCTTCCGGTTTTTTTTACTTTCTGTAATTTAATTTTCACTTAAAAGTTTATAACCTACTTCACATTGCATATCCTCCCAATCTGCATTTTTTTTATTTTTTTTCTTTTAATCTAAATTGTGTTACAAGCACTTCGGTTGTGATTTTCTGTGATATTTAGCATTTAATATATATATATATAATAATTGGAAGTAGCGTTGAGTCCTCCCGATTCCAAGCATGGAAAAAAGACGCGTATTATACTCCGGTTTCTTCTATTGAGCGATTCGACCTACTTCGCTGCTGAGACAATTTTACACAATAAACACGATAATTGGTTTTTCATAATTGTTTTCCTTTATATTTAAACTTTAACCTTGTTTATTAAATTATGTATATAATTATTTTGCATATTTCTGTGATAATAGTTAGTTTTAACTTTTGTTTTTTTTTTATATACCGTGTTTGAAATACAATTATTATTTGTTTATTCTTCCTTTTCACATTTTCACTTTTTTCCCTTACTCGTTGGTTGGAGAATTGTGAAAAGATTAGGTATATAGATCATATTTTATACACATTTCTCGGTCACAGTTCATTATTTGTCATAAAAATGTCCATTTTGCTCCAATACTTCGAGGAGTTCTGCGTTCTCCATTGTTTTTTACGACAGAAAAAAAAACACAACTGCTATTTCACATTACGAGCGTTGTATTTTTCTTTCAACGGGGAAACGCGTAGTTAAGTCTTTTTAATAGACAATAATGTAATTGATAGTATCGTCAACACTCCTCTTGCTTAGCACTAGTTGATAATTCTTCGACGCTGGAATTATCGTCGGGTTCTTGAAGGTCAGTGAAAAACGATGTAAGCGCAACTAACGAGACGCTGTGACCAGCGAGGTCTTCTTTTGCCTCGGGAGTTTTCGATTTCCACGTTAAAAATGCGTCACTTGATATAATATTGTCCATCCATAACTGGTTCATAATAGGTATAAGAGTACCTGTAACCAAGACGATACGAGTGTTAAATTTTCATTTTTTTTTGCGTCTCAAAATTTTATATAAAAATATACAAGCGAGCCTATATATTCACTTGTGCATATAGTTTAGCGTGTGCTCTTATTACTCACCTGGTGGAAACTCGATTTTCGTCATGTAATTTTGAATTGCGTAAAGACACTGTAATTCAAGCAATTCATTCGCNTCGACATATCGGTGAATTAACGTCTCGAGACTTGCAAGAGTGTCTAAGTTTAGTTTCCAAGTATTATGAACTTTTTCTGCAAACATAACAAGAATTATAAGTACAAAAAAGGAATATCGCAAAAGAGATCTATTTTAGTATAGAATTTATTTAAAAAGACGTGAATATTTGGAAAAGTGCATTATATATACCGAACGTAGTTTCTAAAATGGCAGTCATTAAATGTCGTATGAATCTTGGGTCTTNGTTCCTTTCACCAACTTTTAGCTAGAATAACAAGTTGGTTATAGAAAAGTTAGTACAACCATTTATAAGACGCAAACATATGTGTCAACTTAGAAATAAACGTACTTCTATCCAACTACAAATCTCGTCGAAAGAAGCACTCTCCTTCATAAGCTTCGTCAAATGTTCTTGAATCTTCTCTAATGGGAGTTCTTCGCTCGCGAAGACTTTGGCACTGTTATAGTCACCAGTTAGGAACTCGAGATTCTAAAAACAAAAACGGAATTGCTCATATTATATTTGACAAAAAAAAAAAAAAAAAAAAAAAAAAAAAAAAGACGAGAATATACATTTACGCAACTGTACAGTAGCTTTCGTGTAAACAATCTTTCATCGAGTAGCGGGACGAGATGTTTATGAAAGTTTTATACGTTTACAGATCATACTCACATATTCCTTGATAATTTTATCGGCATTTTCGAGTTCTGTGTCTATTAAATTATTCAAGAGCAGTCCACTTTGGTCCCATTTATCGGCAACCCATTTAGGTCCTTTATCACGGGATACTTTCGTTAAAAGTTCACCAATGAATTTGCCTACAAAGCCCTGACTTCTTAAATTTAGAAGTATACTCTTCATTTCGGACAATGGGACAGCTCCGTCTTCTATCGGATGTGCTGCAACATATCAACATACAAATAATTTCGATTTCGGAACATATAGCACGAGAACAATGCTCAATATTTCGTCAGTCCTGTTGAGCTTAAAAAAACCAGCATTGTTTCTCTATGGTTTGATATCTGATCTTCATCATAGAAGATATTTTTTTTTTCTCAAGCTGAGACTGATTTATAAAGAGAGGAAGCAAATATATATTACTTACACAGGATTTCTGCTAGATACGTCCAAATTTTCGGTATATCAATCACCAAATCGTCTACTATTTCTAGCACTTCGTCTAACCTGAAACACAATTCAAAATATACGATTTACACAGCAGTTTTAGCGAAAAGTTAATAGAGCACGAATAAGCAAAAATAAAGCATCAGTATCCTTTTGGCAAACATAACACAAAAGATAGATTTTTATCCTTTCCTCTGTATATATATTAGATATCATCATTAAGTATCCACCTGTCTTGATCGACTTGTTTTGTTCTCTTTTATGTATAATAATAATAAAATAAAATAATTTATGAGAAAGTTGTACGAACAAAGAAATATAACTTACCCGCTCTTGAAACATTGCAGAGGTAGAATATTTCGTCTAAGCAAGTGAGACAGAAGTTTTGAGACCAGTTCTCGCTCAGTAGGCATTTTTTCGAGAACGTGATTAATACATTCTCGAGTGAACTTGCCGAAAGTCGCATTATCGAACTTCTGTTGAATCTCCAATCCAGTATTCTACAAGAGAAATATCACAATTATATATATTTATATATCAAATTTAAACAAACGTTTTTGACTAATTTTAGAATTTCTTAAAAATTGTCCTCTTTATGGCAAATGTGAATATAGCGTGATACAACATTATCACGAGAAACCACAAAGAAGGTATTGCATATTATTGCACGCCAATGACTCAAGCATCTCCTATGGTAACAGAGATGGATCCAAGGGACGTGCATTCAAGACTGGCATTATAAATTTTGTTCTTTATTTTGTTTTTTATTTAAGAGGAAACTTACCTCAACAATAGGCTCCTCAAGATAATGTTTTAGTATCGAGTTGTACGCTTTCGTGAACTCTTGATCTGTCATTGGTGACTTGTGACTAATTGCACCAGACTGCGAGACAGACTTCATCACAGGCGGAGGCATCGACACGTTTCGACTTTGGGAACTGTCCAATAATGAATGACTTTCTCTACTCGATGCTCCCAACTGATGAGTACCATTACGAGAACCTCTACCATCTGTCAAAAAAATATTTTTTTTCTTCAGAATTACATGTACCAAAACATTATCTATCTGTCAAAGGACTTAAGAACAATAATTTATCTTTAGCATAAATTTGATTTTTTTTTGCAACAAACAATTAAGTGGTTAATTAAAGAGTAAAAAGTGACCTCAAGTCGGACAGGTAATACATCATTATATACACATTTTAAATTGAAAGAAAGAGAACATACCGTAAGACTTGTAGTCACGACCACATTCTCTCGGACCCGTTGATCTTGATCTGAAAAATAAGAAGAAACATAAAACTAGCTGTTCGAGACGTATCTCTAAAAGTTGTAACGTGAGGTTACAGATGTCAGGATATTGTTTTAAATCATGAAAGTTTAAGAAGATTTCAGAAACTCTAGTCTGTACTTGTATCATCATTGACTAAATCGTAAAAAAAATCGACCGAGTCATAAAACATATGACTCAAAGCAACGTGGTGAAAAAATACCCAACTTACCCAGAAAGTGGGAGAGGCGGCATCCTTTTATCTTGGTCCAGGTTAGACATATTTTCTAAACATGCGAATTTATTAGAACTTATTGTCTTATTAGAACTACTGGACGGGGTGGTAGCCCTCCACAAGTAAGATGCTCTGTTGCCAAGTTGCATATCGTCCATTGGTGGCTGTATCGAAAAGAAAAAAACAAAATATTAAAACTACTTAAAATGTTTTTCAACATTAGTGTAACGCAATATCAGTGTGTGTTGGAACTCGACAGCATGTAAAAAATATATTGCGTTAACAGAATGAGAAAATATCTAGAATGTTGTGCCACTACCAAACAAAAAGATCCGGATTATCTAGAATATATTTAGTACGTTTGAAGTTAAACTAGATGCGCGATAAGGAAATTTGTGACGAAAAAAATAAAAAATCTTGATTCTACTTACTGGTTTATTCTTTAGTTTAGCTGTTTCAACTGAATATGTCGTTGGACGAACTCTTCCTACTGGTTGACTCCAACCATCGTCAGTAGGACCGCCTAATCCTAAGCGTGCAAAATTATTGTATTAATAATAACACACATACGCACAATAAAGAGCATAATGTTTTTAACTCAATTATTCGAAATTGTACTCACGATTTCGTTTCCTATCATTATTACGGTCATCTTTTCGCGGAGTGCTCAACGGAGCACTGTTGACTTGCATGTCGAGTCTTTCCGATTCAGCTTCTTTCTGAATCTGATCAATTGTCTTAGGATTGCCCTCATTTCTTCGAGGGATCCATCTGCTTGCTCGCAGTTCTATGACATCTTGAAGCATAAATCTAATCCTCGAGCTAATTTTACTATGACCTTTCCGAGCAACGATATCTTGCATTCTACTGAAATATTCCTGCATGTCCTGGAAAAGAAAGTTAAAAATAAACAAACTTTGAAAAAAAAATAAAAAAAATAAAAAAAATTATATTGTCATGCATATCGCGCAGCGTAAATGAATCGAATAATGATTGTATCAATTAAATCCAATCAGCAACACTTTACCTCGGCGCTTCCTTTGCAGTCCAAGTCTTTTCCAATTGTCGTTAACAATTTGCACAGACATTCCAAGTTGTCCTCATCATTTTGATCTAATAAATGACGTATACACCGGTGCATAATTTTTGTAGTTAAAATTTGTTGTTTATACAGTTCTCCAATAAATCTGTGAACGATAAGAAGAAGAGATAATTAAAAAAATCTTTTTTTACAACTGGATATATCTTCAGATATTTCTTCGAAGCACGTTCAGTAAACAGTCATCTTATATAGAACGATTTGCTCACCTGATATTTCCTACAGACTTAACTCGTATCCGACGCTCCTCCTCTTCGAGTGCCAGCTGCAATTCCTTTTTCTTTTCCTAATAAACACGTGCGAGAAATAAATTATAGAGCGGTACAAAGAAATATCACATTAATATATAGAGATATATCACATTAAAAATTATAAATGTATATAACTTAAAATATACAAATACGCTTACGGGGTCAGTGCATTCTTCTATTTCTTTTAATCTTTTATTTCTTGCTACGTCGTCAATCGGGTTCTTTTCAAATTCTTTTTGGCAGCGCGTTATGATAAGCTTCTTAAAGCTGATCGAGCTGTCTTGATTATCGGGTCCCGCGACTTCCATCATCGCAAGTTCTTTGCACATAAGGGCGTATTCAACAGAGAAGCTCGGTTCATCAACCGCTTTCTCAAACACCAGATTGATGACACCTTGCAGCCGTTCTTGCGTATCAATAGGCAAACTTTTCACCTGTTCTATGAGTGTCTGGAATTTCTGAGGAGTCAATTTATTGAGAACACTGCGAACGCGCTTATAAAGGGCTTCTGATTTTGCCTCCTCTTCGGTCAGACTAATTTGTTTTAGTCTGGAAGGCTTCCATGCATTTTCCGTCTCTCTAAGTTTTACATCTTCTCTGAGAGACAACGACATGTGAATGACATTTGGCTTGTTTGGTTTGACTTTTCCTTTTTCGCTTCCTCGACCTGTCGTGCGCTGTAAAACAAGATACATGTCTCAGATTAATATCGCGTCTCAGACTCTATAGATCTAACTCGACATAGCAAAAAATATCAATCAGAAAATGCATGTTTTTCCTCAACAGAGTTCGGACCACTACTTTCTTTACTCGACATCATGTATTTCATGTTTATTTTTCTTTTTTGAGTCGCGTGATATATAATTGTCTTGCACGTGTTTATGCAAAGACTTACCGGCCGAACACTTATCGCAGTTTTGGCAAAGCCGGGCAGCAATGCGTCATGTCTAGTCAGATTTGTTTCTTTGAACGCTCTCAAATCCATGGAACTGCCGTGTGTATTCTGTAAAACAAAAAATTATACATTACCGTCCAAATAACGAAGAAGCATTATCAAATGCAATTCAACGCACCTGTAGACTGTCCTTCAGAACAGCTTGGAGATTCGGCAAATTAGGCGGCTTCAGCTTGCTGTTGGGATCAAACTGCAATTTCATCAGGAAGTCCCTGTCGTAAATTTTTTTCCCACTGGTGTTTATGGGACTCCATTGATCCTCTTTGTAGATGTATTTTAATTGAGGCTGCCTAGGCGTCATTTCCATGGACGCGTTACTACTGCTGCTAGGAGTCTCGACTTCTTGCTTTTTCTCGTCAACCACCGTCGACGATGTTATTGTCGCCGGCTTGTTGTCGTCGTTGGATGTGTGGAGCGCCGAGACCTTGTAATTTTCTTCATTTTTCTGCGCGACCAGCGCCTCCAAGTTAATATCCTCCTTGACTTTTGCATGATCGACGACGTCATTAGGAACTGGAGGATGCGCGTTGCATATGTTCGTCGATTTTATATTATCCTCTATTTTCGGTAATTCCTTCAACGCTTCCTTGTTAACTGGAGGCTTATCAGCGGCGTGTAAAACTGGCGCGCTTTCCTTCGGCACCTCGGCTGGTGCGTGTTTGTTCTCGCTTTTTGCAAGAAGGATCTCCTTTTCCTTCTTTGACTCATGGTTGTCCTTTTCCTTTAATTCCTTGGTGGTCGCGTCTCTGGTCAGCTCCTTGTTGGTGTCCTTCGGAGCAAGAACGTGTTGCTCCTTGCTGTCTTGCTTGGGCTCCACCGCGGTCTTCGACGCCGGATTTACATAAGCGTCCATATCGGTGCCTTCCTTCTCGGCACCCTTGCGATTGAGATCGCGTGGTTTCAATTTGTTCTTACTTTTTTGTTTCTGCATGCTGTTGCTATTTTTGCCTAAAATAAACAGAGAGAAAACACACGTAATACGATAATACACAAAAGTGAGATACATCTTCGACGTTTACTTTCGAAAAAGACAACAATTTCATAAATCCGTGACGCAAGCAATAAACAATTTATCTATTGTCAGTCGAAATTCCTGTGTTTAAAAGAGAAAAAGAGAAGAAAAAAACATTAATTTAACATGGTGTAAAAGCCTGGGGGAACTTTATTTCCTTTCTTCTCGGTTGTTAGGAGACTTTTTTTTTTTTTTTGGTTTTAACAAAGGTGGCGAAAACTCGAGCAACTACGTTTTTTTTGTCGCAATATGTAAGAGCGGGGGAGGATAACTTTCGTGTTACATCTATCTGAATATTCGTCACATCGAGGATTCATCGACACATCGAGTGATCGTTTTGCGTGTGTACCGTGATCTCGGGATCCTCGCCGATTACGGCTCTTGGATCTTGCGCTGCTGCTGGCACGGCCGCCGCGGCCAGCGTTCGTTCTTCGATCGCTCATGTTTCTTTTTCTCGCGTGTACACGTGCGCGTACACACTCTCTCTCACATCTTCGAGGATAGGATCTCGAGTTTCGAGATGTTGCCGCGCGCGCGACACACACTCTGATTCAGTATTTATTTATAAACCTGCCAAATCGCTGCCAAACGCGGCGTAGATGCGACACAACGAAAACGCGACGACGACGACGAGACGAGGAGCGATCGAAATACGAGAATCCGCATCCTTGACAATAACTTCGTCGACAAGGCGGAACGTTTTCGTGTATCCGGTGAGCATATGGCTCTCTCGATTGGCTTCTCGGATGGCTAACGACACTCGGAAAACGGAACCTCTGGCCGAGTCGCGAATGATCGGAATTTGGATTCGCGAAGTGTCACCGTTTATTCGCGCAATCCCGACACGACGCGACCACGACGACGAAAAGACGTTTGATAATATCGATACGATAACGAACGATTGTCGAAACAGACACTTTGAAAAATCCACGGAGGCCTGTGGGGGCTGGTCCGACGCGGCGCCCGTCGACTTTCACGCATCTATTTTAACCTGTGAACTGGCGCAAACCGACAGGCACGACACAAGATTTCTTAAATTAGTTCTGTTCGCCGGTTTGCGCCGGAGCAGGCGCACCAGGCGTCCAATTTGCGTGATCGGGACGCACAGCTACCTATAACCAAAAACTCGGCGCGTTATTAGAACCGCGCCTTAAAAGAATCTTCGTCCTGTTGATTTTATTTGCGATTCTCTTACAGCGAGAAAATTTCCAAATCGGTCGGACATCTCGAAGGTCTTTGAAATTCCCTCTCGATCGCGCGGACTTTTTCGGTCCTAATTGGCGATCGATAAATCGGCTGATCTAATCTAGGCGCTCGGGCGCGCGAACATTCACCGGGCCGTCCGATCTTGAATTCGTTTTTCGATCGCATAGCGAACTAGGTTGAGTCACACTTGAGAGCGAGAGACGGCGATCTCAAGTATCGAAAGTTCGCAATGATAAATAAAAGTCATCGAGATCATCGCCGAGATCGTGACGTGCAACTGAGAATTTCGAGAACAACATCATATGTATGCGATGAGACGGTTTCAAAGATTAAAAGTGAAACGACCGCGCGCGCGCGAATCGTCTGTGTCCGACATCGCTGAGAGCTCAAAGAGCATCGACAGGGTGAAAAAAAAGAAAGATAGGCTTCGCGTATGGGTATCGTTCGTACGTCCCGATACGATTCGTCACGCGTCATTTAATCGTGTCGCATCGAAGTGCGTATGTCACAACTGCGAAATATTAACGCGACACCTCAACGCTTGTTGTCGACGTAACAAACTTTGAATAACAAGCCAATGAATCGTTATCTTCTGCCAGTCAATGAATACAAGAATATTTTTAAGCTGGTAAAAAAACCTTATCACGTCCTCTAGAGAGAAGAATCTTTGACGAGTACGAAGACACATTGACGTCATCAAAATCGGTCTGAGATTTACAAAAACTTTAAAAGCTCACGTCTTTCACGCGGAGTTTTTCGATATCGCGGAAAATTTTTACTTGGCGAACAAGAGCGACTCAAGATCGCGACGAAAACTGTATCTTATATTTTATTTTTTTATAAACATAACGCACAACGCGTGTTCTCGCAAAACGGTGACGCGTGTCTGTCTCGATACATGTGTAGTATCGCATTATACCGCACTGCAGCCTTGAACCGCAAAAGAATTTCTTTTAACCGGTTCGAAGTACAAATGATAATTTCGACAGTATTGTCGGATCTCCTTCTCGCCGTATCAACTATAACAGATTGAAGATTCAACGCGCATTTTCTTGTGAGAAAACATATCCGGGCAATTATGTGGTACGCGTGAAGAACGTGAGTTTATGATCTCTGTTTTTATTTTTCGATTTTCTTATTGATTTTTGTACAATCAAACAATAAAAACAAAGACTTTCGAAACCGGATGCAATCGGTATTGTGAAATTCTTCTACTCCTGTAACGATCCAGCGCATTAAAACACGTCACAAGATTAAATTTCCTTCCGCGCATGTGCGATCATATGGCGAGTGTGCGGTGGTGGGACGTCAGCACGAGATGAGAAGCAAACTTCACTGAAAGAAAAACTTCTTTCACTTTCGCTTGAGTGAAATGCGAACCGTAATATGTGAATCGTTTCAATTATTTTTTCATTTGCGAACGACCTGAAGAGAGAGAGAGAGAGAGAGAGAGAGAGAGAGAGAGAGAGAGAGAAAGAGGTGAACTGATTAACCAAGTAAATTTCTTTCTTTATATTGCACAATAAAATAGATGACAAAAGAGAGAATCTTCTTTATATTAAAACGATGTAAAAAGATAAAAGAAAAAAAAGATTATAATGTTCTAAACGTAACTTATGTACATTATAATGTAATTCATAATTATGTAAATGATATATATTTATATGAATTATGAGATTTATATGAATATGTATGTATAAAAAACTACGATCATATGTATATATATGTATATATTATTTATGTATCATATATTGTTTATTCAAAAAACTATGATTATTATAGCGCAAATGTCAAATAAAAGCGTATGTGCCGAAAAATCACAATCATACACGGTGCAGCAGTCTCTTTCGAACATTCACAAAATGGCTACACCACAACGAAGTGTCTCTCCTCTTCTCTCCCTTGAATCCTGATTAAATTCGACTACATTTTTAAGAGAAAAGTCTCTCCAAGCATAAAGCGCGCAATCGAAGAAATTTAAAGATTTTACAAACAATCCGATGCTTCGCTTGATTTAAAAGTACATGTGGCACTCAAGATCCACCCACACATATTGAAACCTGACAATCGACGGTGTTCGATAAATCCGAAAAATCGTGACGCGATTCGATGTTAATTATTGCAAATTGAGAAGCAAGAATCGAGTAACGAGTTCTCGTAAGAAATCTCGCAAGCTCGCGTTTGTTACAATCGCGCTGTCTGTGATTTGGATGCGCAGGCCATGTCAGCGCAGTAATATCTCCGTGACAAGCGAAACACGTTGTCGTTGACGAACCGCCGGATATTACCACAGCGCAACCGCCACGTAGAATTGCGCATGCAATTTACAAATTCTAATAAAACAAATATGATAAGTAAGCGGGCGGGCGGGCGGGTGGACAGGCGGACGAGCGGTCGCTCGCTCGATCGCGCACGCCTTTTGCCTTCGTCTCGCGACTCTCGACTCGGCTCGATTCGACTCGGCTCGGCTGGTCTCGCGCCGTGTTACCTTGTCTCGTTTCGCCGAACCACAAGATGTCGGAAACCACGTTGCCACCGAATAAAAGGCGATTTTTGGCGATCGTATGGTACATATACCAAAGTGTACCAAACTATAGTTCGAGTGTCTTCAAATTATAGTTTGGTATACTTTGGTATATGCACCATACGATCGCCAAAAATCGTCTAAAATATCGACCATTTCCCACCACATTGAGAAGAATCCTACGCTCGTGCAAATGAAATATCGAAAAAGAGAGCAAAAAAATTACCAAGTTTTGCACACACACATATCTCAGATCAAATTGCTCCGTGCTGGGTTCTGAGATCGTTTCGAATATTTTTCATCGTCTCGTGTGTAATTTCCAGATTCTCGCACCACCAAAAAAAACCCGAAATTTCTGTTGCTCCGGAATCACAAGAGCGGAAGGAAGTTCGAAACAAAGGAAAAAAAAGGAATAACGATGCGTGTATAGGGCGCTCGTCGCACAACTTAAAAAAAAACACAAAAAATATGTATATACATATGTACAAAATACACAGATTGTTAACACAGTATATTATAATGCAGTGTAATAAGCGTAATTCGGTCACGTGAGCGAAATGTGAAGATTGAGATGCAAGTTAATGCGGGAATGCGGGAGAACTGTTGGTAGTGGAGGCGTTGAACAATCTTTGGAGTTGAGTGAAAGGTAAAAAAAAGAAAAAAAAAGAGAGAGAAAAAATAACGCAACGAAAAAACGAAGAAAAACAGATTAAAAAGAAAAGGGACAGAAATTGGGAGAAGAGAGCGGAATATAAAATGCGGCCGTTTGGAGCAGCACGTGCTGCTTTACTGAGGACTGTCGACGACGAAGGAGACCCGCCGCAACTTCTTCCTCCCCTTTTTCCCGCGCTCCGAATTAACCTTATCCAGCTTCCTTCATCCCCGCTCTGCTTGTCGACCATTTTCGCACAATCGTGCGTCACCGTCTCCGGCTTGGCATGGCGCTGCGCATATAACCCGCCCTGCCTCGCCTCGCCTCGCCATGGCCTCGCTAAATTCTTACTGCACGTTTCGATCACAGGTAAGGCAGAAAGTAGACAAACGAGTCGCAAATCTCGTCCGTAACGGTCAGAGGGTAGGTACTTGAGTATGAATATGCGCGAAATACTATTTACGTACAATTTCTACGAGTAAAAAAAGATAAAAAATAAAAGAAAATAGGGGGTGTATAAAACTTTCTGATACAGCAAAAATGGAAAGATATATAGAGATTTAGGTCGGTCCGAACGGAAAAGTCACGTACACACAACTTTATGCAAAAATTTGCATTAGTTATTAATTACATAACTAATACGAATCAATATGAGACGAAACAAACTCGATCCCGCAGACGCGGGATAAAACCATGTGATTTTCAGAAAATCAATAAATCAGTCAGCTGATAGCGAGAAGCCACACATCGCTCGCTGCGTTTAACTCACTGATTCATATTAATTAATATCTCGTCAACTATCGCAGGATAGTGTACATGACCGTTTTGCTTCAGACTGACTCAATCTGCTTTCCCGATTACGTCAAATAATTTTCAGACATCTTATGTACATGAGAAAAAAAAACAAAATGTTCCGTTAATCAGTTTAACATCCTGAACAAAATAAATAAATACGTTAACACATATTAAAAACTCGTTAAATAAATTAAGACAAGTTGTCACACATCAACCTCGTCAGCGACCTCGGATTACTTTTTTACTGCTCTTCAATTAGTCGCGTCAAAAAATATATACGATTCTACGATTTATTTTTTATTTTTTTTTTTTTGTAGAACTTGTGGCACGGATCAACAAATGACCTTGAGTTCTCGAGTTCTTTGTCGGAGAAACAGGAAAGCAATTATTCGAGTAATTTGTATAGGTGAGCTTCTATCGAAGAAAGAAGCAAACTACTGAAAGACGACCACGTGTCTGACGCGATAAGGAAACTGCGAGAAAAGCGGAGAAAAAAGGTGTTTGCGACCCGACACTTACTTCCTTTTGGAGGTCTCTCATCAAAATGTGTGCTTACATATTCATTCATGAATAATGAACGTTTTGCGTTTGATGTGCCATTCGCTTTTAAATACTGTGTATTGCCGCGCTCGTACAAAGAAAACCTATATCCTAGCATATAAAATCAATCAGCCAAAAACCGACTGAAAACTGATACGCAGTCTTTTCATGGTTCAGATAAATGATCTTTTTTTTTTGTGGTTCAAATAAATATTATGCAATTCTGTACGTGTGATACGTATGGAAAAATCGAGAGAAAAATAAATACTGCATTTTTTTTTTTTTACCTTTCTTTTTCATGTTCCGCGAGCTTCAACTTGAAATTTCTTAACGGTTTGCAACTGGAGTAAAAGCACCAGTAATTGTGCTGGCTCTATTTTCTCTAACAACACACAACACTACTTACGGACAAGAAGACGAACAATGACATCACGACACATTTCCCAATTTTAAAACATCGCGTAAAATATAAAACTGCGATTAATATTCAACGAGTTTCGCGATAATTACAGATAGTAGACGTTTGTTCGCAGTGTTTGACGCAGTTAATCAACGTAGGAGCGGAGAGACCGGCGATCGAGTTCGATTCGAACGCTTTCGAGACGGAACATTTAAAACGGCGAGCCAATGGCGTTCACAACACCACGTTACGCTTTTGTCGAGCAACGGTCACAAATTCAAAAAATTACGAACACTCGCAATCACGCAATTCAAGTTTAACTCGCGTTGAAAGTTAATTTGAAACTTGCGTTCGTCAGTTACGCATAAATTTACGACGCACAAGCAAACGCACGCGGCACCGCTCGATGAAAGACCGACGGACTCGCGTCCGTAACCTCCTTCGTTGGATTTGGACACCTCGTGGGTTTTAGGTTAGGTTAGGTCGACGATGTGAAAGAGGAAAAAGTGCCCTCTCCAGAAAAATCCTGGAGATTCTCAACGCGCCGACGCAAAGGTGTGTCGGCGACACGTGTTTCCACGAAAAAACTCTCCATGAAACCGAAGCAAAGTGCGTTGATACTTTCCGATATCGTAATTTTTTTTCTGTTGCATAAATATTACAGGATGAATATTGATGCGAACCAATCGCGAACGGACTCGCGACAAGTCGAATTTGTCAAATGTACGGAAATTTATGTAATTTGCGAGTAACATTGCAAAAGATAAAAAAACAAAAATCTGGACAATAAAATATTAACGGCGAGAATCGTCGGACGGACTGAGCCTCGAGTAAACGATGTATCTGAAAATTGCGCTTATCTGAGGAACTTTTTGCGCGATATCGTGAGCGCGCACAAAGTGTAAAGTTCAGACGAATGAAAGTAGGGACGAGTGCAAATACGTTTACTTGTGATCGATACTACCGCCGATAGATAAACGTCTCGAGTAAATTTCCATTTGTGAATAAAGAAGGAAAGAGAGAGGATATTTGACGCGGTTACCTTGAGTAAAACTCGTTCAAGGCGTTGTCACAGGTGTAACACACACGAGTGTAATTGCGCAAATAATTTTCAATTCACACTTCACTTCTTTTTTTATCCCTCGCTCTCACTTTTCTTTCGGATTACCAACAATATGCGTATTTTCCTAATCAACATTGCTCCATGTGTGTGTGCGCATATTACACACAACGATATAAAAATATAAAAGTAAAATTGTTTACGCAAATACATTAGTGGACAAATCTTGAAGTTTTAAATTAAAAAAATGTAGCGATGCAAGTTCTCTGTATGTTTAAAAGTGACATGTGTTATGTAGATATGAGCAAAAAAAAAGAAATATTAAGATATACAGTCGAGCAATTGAAATAATTCTCTCTCGACGTTGCACAATAGCAATAGAGTAAAAAAAAGTGATTGATCAGAAATAGCAAGTATCGTGTACTCACCCTCAGATGGTTTTTGCTGAATGTCTGAATTTCTGGGAAGCGCTTCCCCTTCCGTTTTATCGCTGGTCGCGTCGCCGTTCGTCTTCTGATGATGATCAGGAGTCGGAGTAGCGCCTCTAGAACCGAGACTCTTCTCACGTGTTTTACGTTGTTCCTTCGAGTCCTTACTCGAAGGCGGTTCGGTTACATTTTGTTTTCTCCTCGGCGGTGAACTCGACGTCTTGGCTGCCAAGTTGGGAAACGGTTCCTTCGTAGGAACGGGATGAGAAACTGTTGAAGAAGTAACGGACGGTTTCGGAGTCTCCTGAGGAAGACTAGTCCAGTACATCGCGACCGGCGGCGTTTGTAAAACGGCCGAAGTGTTGTTTACACTTTTAGCTTCAGGTACAGGTCCGTTTCCGGTTCCACTTACAACGGCAACAGTCTCGGGTTCTGCTGCAGCATTCACCGTAGATGCAACTGACGTTGATTCGGTAATAGTAGTAGTGGTGGTGGTGGTGGTGGTAGTGGTAGACGAAACGGTGAACTGCACGGAAACATTATCTTTATTTGCAACGGATACCACCGACGGTACGACGACAGGCGACGATTCCTCAATCGTCACGTTTTTTGCTTCACTTCTGGGTTGGAACTCCTTCGCTGGGAGTTGCAACGCCTTCGACTCGGCTTTAGTCGCGCCCGAGTCGATTTGAGACATACTATTAGTATCTAACAATTGATTATTTATCGTAGATACAATACTGCCAGCGCCAGCGCCAGCTATATTTTTTTGCGTATTTAGCATGGGCGGACTGGCATTACATTGATTAACAGAAGTGTTTTGTAACGCCTGTGCACTGGGCGCTGTTTCATTTGCGCTTGTATCAGATTCCTCAGTCGCGGCTTTCGCGACACGAGCCGCGAAATCAGCTATTACTTCCGCACCATTATTCTGTAACAATCACCAAATCTGCGTGATAGACGATGCCACGTGCCATTCGTTCATGCATTATGCTTGACAACTAAAAACTGGCTCCAAACTCAAATCATAGGGCGAGAGAAATCAAAACAAAAGCGCTTAGACGAAATAAACGTTCAAGACTTTACACATCTGTCAACCCCCTACAGCCATAAAATCCTCTCCAATGTGTGTTGATATCAAATAACAAATCAGAGAGGGAAAAAATCGTTTCATCGATATTTTATCGCGCTCGTTACATCAAATTTAAAATACCGTTGATAAACAAAAACCTTTTTTTACTTGTCTACACGCACGCAATAACAACTCATCTCTCTTCGTTTTCCTCGTTTGACTCAGATTTTCCAAGAGATTACTTCGTTAGAGGACATGGCTTGGGCGGGGTATACAGATACTAAATACGAACAATCGACTGTGAGAGTTAAGTTTGTTTTTCGATATAAAAAATATTTTTGTGCATTTTGTGGTAAAAGAGTTTCTTTTTCTTTCATTTTATTTATAGATCACATTACAAGATTAAAGTGCTGAACTCTCCTAGTCAATTGCCGTTGCGTGTCATTATTGCTAACTCACCTGAGACTGTGGTGTTTGACGATTACTAGATTCACCACTCTGAACACTCTCATAAATTTCATCACTAATATTCTTTCCAGTTAGAGGATCTACGATATCCATAATCGCATTTTGACCTCGTTTTCTGGATCTTATATTTGATGCACTACTATTATGTGAATAGACATCTTGAAAAAAAAGAAGAACATTTTTAATTTATACATTCTGCCATCAATCGAAAAATATGTATATGTTATATATCTTTAAAGCACTGCTCGAAATAATTTGCAATTGGGCGATATTATTGTGACCAGCGTTGACAACAATTCGTGTCTTTATGATGCTTGCCACTTGTCGCTCGTACTGGCCGGCCGCTCCTGATAGTTTTTTTTTTTTTTTTAATATACGAGCGATAAACGGTTCATATCACCAAGACCTAAGCGACGAAAAAAACATTGTCGATATTAGAAGAAAAATCGACACAATTGCAGATAATTCAGGGTATTGCTTTAAAGAAATCGTGTTAATTTATTCCAAATGAAAAAAAAAACACGAGTAATAGAACGATTTAATAAAGATGATTTGTACAACATACCATTTATATACAACATACCAGTTTGTGACAATGGAATGCCCATTGGTGGAAGGGGCTGGGCCGCTGGTTGCGTCTGTTGCAGTGCACCCTGTGGTACAACTGGAGCACCTTGAGTACCTGCTAGCGGTCCTGCTACATGTTGCGTTCCACCGCTAACGGCACTTGTATTACCCCTCGTAAGACTCATCGAGTTGGCAAAATAATCTAAAACCAAGTCAATTTCAAGATTATCATCGGGTTGATTTGACATCCAGAATGTCGCGAAACTCGAATAGAACTTACAGTTGTGAGATGGAGCTGGGGCATGACTGTAACTACTAAACATACTAGGCATTATCTGTGTTGGATACTGGAAAAACGACTGGTTCTGATGAGGCTGATGTCGGGGCCCAGAATACTGAAACAATGTAACAAACTTTCCTTAACATCGTTGCATTTAACTCACAATTCATTGTTAAAAATGAATTATATAGCGAAAAGCCTCTGGTATAAAATAAACACATAAATATCAACGTGTCTTTGTCTAGTACCTGAATCGGTATCTGGTGGTTATAAATATTCTGTTGGTGGGAATGGAGTCCGTGTATTGATTGATTTTGCCCCAGGAACATCGCACTTTGTACAGGCAAAGCAGGATGCGAGTATATCGCTGACGGTTGTCCTCCGCCACCAGCTACTCCAGCCATCCCGACCACCGGTGTGCCGCTAGCCTGACCTCTATGGGTAATATTTCGTGGCTGTTGAGGTCTAGGACCTGCTTGGTAATAGCCCTGCGAAGATAAAACAAAATCTTTAGTCGTTTATTCTCAACAAACACTGGATTATTCTTACAATATAGCTTACGTACTTGAGAGGCCGGCCTGTTTTGTGCAGGCACGTAAACCTGCTGCAGAGATGGCGGTTGGGTCGGTAAATGTCCTTGTTTACCCATATCTTGAGATGGCGGCACTACAGGTGGTGTAGTGGTTGGAGTAGGTTGGCCTTGATTTTGCACTCCCGGAGTAGATGCTTGATTTGGTTGGCCAGGACCTCCTGGCGGTATACCCGCCGCCGACTGTCCTAAAGTCTGTATACCGCCAAGCGGTGGCGGCCCTCTACCCGTTGGTACTCCTACATTCCCACTGCCACCCACCTGACCACCCGGTTGGGCACTGTAACTTCCATGGAAATCAGACCCTGAAAGCAAATTTTATTATTTTTACAATTTTATTATCAATGTTGTGTCACACATTTAACTTTTATAGCACAGTAAGCAGTGAGTTTCTGTTACACCACACCTCTTGTGATGTTACATCATAGTGGTTCAAACAAGTGACAAATTATATTATCGCAAAAAATTTATAAAAAAAAAAACAACATATTCCTTTTCAATTTCTTTGTATTTATTTTCTTCATTTTCGCCATCTTTTACAAAAACAAGTTATTTACAAACGAGTTGCAATTATCGTGAAACAGAAAGCTATTATTATAAACGCGAACAACAATGAAAATCACAAACAAAAATGAAAATCCATACGAATAATATTGAAAATAATAAAGAAAGAGAGAAAGAGAGCAGAAAAAAATGTGTAATAAATTTTTATTTATTCAAAACTCTCTTGGAGAGAGATTTGACGCGCAAAAAAAAAAGCAAATTAACAAAAGCATTTGAGTTATTTATGAACTAACAAAGAGCACGGCATTGCGCGTTGGCAGAAGACGACGTCACGAGCTTACGCAGCAAAGATTAATAGGTGCGGACTCTTGAAAAGCCTATCGTATCTCGATAACGTTTTCTCACGTACACGACATACATATTTTTACACCCCGTCCCTGTTCTCTTCCTGTTCTAATCAATTAGATGTTCGCGCAAAACCGAAATGCGTATGACACAATGTGCGCAATTGACGTCATATTTTTTTTTTTTTTTTTTACATGAAAAAGCACGCGTCAACAACGTATTAGAGACAGACTCGTTTTTATACGCGAGATTATAATTCTTTGCTTCGTCGAAAGTCTCTCTTTCTCAATCTGTCACGCGATTTGTGCGCGTAACGCAAAATCCTCCGCTCGTTCGACGGACGATCCTCCTCGTCAACGTTTTCCTTTCGTCAATTTTTTGTCTTAAACCAACACACAATTGAGGAAGAAGAAGTGAACAAGCCGATACGGACTCAAGATACGCGTCTTAAAGTTCGAAGAAAAATATACCGATTGTCGAGTCGTCACCGCTCGGATCTCTCTTACCGCTAGTAAAATGAATGCGCAAAGACGTTTCTTCTTTGCGAGCTTGACGCACGTTCTCAACGATCTCTCACCGGGAAACGATTACGAGGAGCTGCAAGATTCGAACGTGAACGAATGCACCGAACCGATCTCGCGGACGGCCATCTTTGTACATGTGGGCAGGGGCCACGGGGAAACGGTGTCGCCCTCTCTAGTGCCGCGCCAGAATCGATTGCTGACTGGACTCGCTACTAAAGTGTGCGTGTATGTGTGTGTATTGTTGAGACGTAATGTATTTTTTTGTCTGTAATGATTGTAAATAAATAAATTTTGAGACGACACTCCCAACAAATTCACAACTCTCTGACTTCCGCTGCGAACGCATTCAACCACGCTAACATCCTTCATTCGCTAACTTTCGCTTACACGTAATCCAAATGGCATTGATGCAATCGTTTTACATGTTTCGCAAATATATATCTCTGTCTTATTAAAAATAAATAAATATTTCGGACAGAGTTTCATCACGTTTAATTTAATTGGTCGATTAAGTCTCTTTGAAATTTGACCGATACGCGTTATGATACGTATCATAATGGGAAAAACAACCTGATGTCGGAAATGGACGACGAAACTGATCGAAACTTTCTATAAGCCAGGCTTGTACAAAACTCGCCTTCGGGACAATTTCGACTAAATGTTCGCACAAACAACGACACAAAAAACTCGCGTCAAGCTTGTTCTTTTGTTTTTGTACATTATTCCTGACAAAGTTACGCGTTCAAATACTATTGTAAAAAAGCATTTCATTGTAACGTGGAACTTTGTAGAGCACCTCAACACGTCATTTCCGTCGGAGCGGTTAACACGATACAGCTTTCTCGCGCGCGTTTTCCTCTTTTCTTACCTCCTTAGGTTAATTAATAATTCTTCCTCTTTCTTTCTCTCGCTCGCTCGCTCGCTCGCTCGCTCTTCCACGGTGCACCGTTCGCTCGGTTCTAAATCGACTCGGACATTTAATGAGCGCGCTTACACGCGTCGAGTGCGGCAGACGGATATAAAGCACTGCGCGGGTACGACTCGAACAGTGGAAACGAGACGCCGGATTAGGTTAGGGTAGGTAGGGTCGGTTTAGCTTAGGTTATGTTAACCTCGCGAGCGAAGCCACGTGGCCAGCCAGCCGCTGCGCTGCATCGGTATTGTATCAGTTGGGGAAAACGAGATTGTGTCCGCGGAAACCTAACCATTCGTCGCGACACATTCCGTCAGGAATATATCGGTCTCCCTCTCCTCTCTACTTTTTCACGTCATTAACGCTCTCGCGGCACGAGTTGTACCGCTGATTCTCGCTAATACGTAAGCGTTGATAAACGCGGGCGACGTTGGGTATCTCGCACGATAAACGAGCGATCTTGTAAAAACCGGAAGCTCCCGGGACACACGAAGACTGATTCGTCAAGGACGGATCAGTGTTGCATCATCACTTGTCTCTGCGAGAAATCCGAGATTTATCGCTCGGAGTATAAAATTATTTACACATAAATTTTTGTCAAATCTTTTGATCGCGCCGCGATCATTTCTGTAATTAAACAAACTTTTTTCCTACGAAAATTTCAGAGATGAACTCGATGTGCTCCTATCCCCTCTTTTTTCGCGTATCGCAATCGAACAACGGGCGCGCGATTGCGGAGGAAAAATACTTGAAATAAAAAACAAATTACAAAATTCGCAAAATACTCGGACGTGCGACTCGTGAGTTTTTTATTCGTGACTTTCGGACTGTTTCAACAAAATAAGCCGTCTATCATATCAGTCACTTGTCTGTCCGGGATGATGATGATGCGGACACAAGCCGAGATGAAGCACGAAATTGTACACCTGCACGAAGGGAAAAGATATCGAACGTACCTTTGGTGGCGGCACGTGGAAAGTGTTTTATCGATTGACCTATATCGTGAATTGTCTAAAGCGCCGTCCAGGGGCGCTAAGAACTAACCTAAATAACAAAGCTACTCGATATATCGATATTCGTGAAAAGAATACCTTCGCTCGAAAATGTCTCAATAACGTTCGATGCAATTATTTTCATCAACTGATCTCTGCGGATTTTTTTACGGAGACACTTGACTGAGTCTCGAGACGAGAGGTAGAAGAACAGAAGCTCCACCGAGTTGGTTTTGCAGCAAAAAAATTATCGACGAACGAATCTGCAAAATTTGAGAGAAAGAAGAGAGACGTAATCGATACTAAATGTGCGTTTTTTTTTTTTTTTAACACAATTGTTTGTTTCGATGAGAAGAAAAAGATGAGGAGAGGGGACACACGAGCAACGCTGAAACTCGCGCACGTCCGCAAATAGACGCAAAACGATTCGACTTCTGACAGATAGGTCACCGGGTCAGATTAACTACCTCTCCAGTGCGCTCGAAAATAACGCGCCTCACGCTATTCTGCTTCGTGATTGCGCATACGTGCTCTCGGGTTGTCGCATACCGCCCTCCGATACGACAACGACGACGACGACGCCGTGATAAAAGTTCAACGATCGCGGGGGCTTCCTGAAATTACGTTTGACACACACACACACACACATAGGTCATAGGCGAACGATCCCAGAAGATCGGTGTGTGACAAGCGAACGACAAGTGGAAGTAAATGCCGATTTTCTCTATCGGTGTCCACGGATCTCCTCGCGTTCAAGGATGATGCGGGTCATGTTATTGCGGTTTCGAAGTCTCTGCGCGAGGCTGTAATTTGCGACCGCGCGTTCCTATCGGCAATATGAAAACTTATATACTGTGCTACCAATCGGATAAGATTGGCGATAACACAAGTGCTACAAAGGAGAACGAACTAAATTAACAAAGAACTGATACGCCGAGAATCGACATATATGTATAATATATGTGTAGAGCTGCAAATTGTATCGTGTGCTTCACTATTATCGTTCAATACGTTTTGCCGACATTATCAGCAGTCCGCGCGCAATTATATATTTAAAACACATTTGCCGTAATCACAGTTTAAGCCATGTTTCTCTCGCCATGTGTGCGAGACACAAGTACAATTCCTGTAAATTGTTATAACTAAATGTTTTTGCAGTTACATATTTTCTCGATCAGATACAGCTCGTGTACGATTAGATTTATGTCCGATTATTCGTGTATCTGATATGTTAATACTCTTGTGTACAAGATGTTCTTATTATACATCTTTAATTATTGATTGATTATACGAGGAATGGTCGATTCTACACTGGCAAACAACCGCTTTACATTTATTTATAACAAACTGTCAGTTTTTACTACTTGGATCATTTTTTTCACGTACCTTGTAATGGATCAAGATTGATGACTCGGTTAGAATGTCCTTCGTATGAGGATAAAGTTTTTATCTGTTTACGTGTAAATTATATACATGAGACCGTCTCGCGTATAAATTATACGTGATTATTTACAACCAAATGTTAAATTTGTCAGAATTTTTTTTCACTGAAGAGTGAAAAAATTACACTGCTGTTTAAACAGCAGTCTGCTACGTACAGCAGGTCGCTTCTCAATAGATGCAGCGTCCTATCTGAGAAAGTGATTAAAAAAAAAAAAAAAAAAAAAAAGAGAAAAAACTGTCATTCAATTGCTTGTGAAAAACGATAAAAATACAACAGTTGTGAGCAAAACGGTCTCCGCGCTCGAATCGAGAACAAAAGAGAAGCCACAAAACTATAAAGCAATCTTACAACGAGTTTGTTATTCCGATTGCGTATATCGCGCTCGCGTTAATCGAAAAAAAAATGTCGATAAATTACAATCATTTTGCGAATTTAACTGTTTAGTAAAAAAAAAAAAAAAAATAGCGCCGACAATATTAAAAAAGACTTTGAAGGGAAGATGCCGAAACGCGACCGACGTGGGACGTCTCACGCGTTTCTCGCAAAAGAAAAAATAAGTAACCAGAAGAGTCGAATAGTGATGAGAATAACGCGCGGACACGTGGTGTCTTCTATACTACCTGCTAAATAGATTGCCAAGTGCGAAGAACCACATTGTCCAGTGACAGAGAGATAAGATCGTTTCGATACATTCTATTTATCGCGCGTTGTATCATTGATAGAACAGATACGAATTTTTCTGTGACAACAATAGGATGACGCGTCGTCGCGGTATTGCATGAAATTGTCGAGAAAAGAACGGGGGAAAAAAAAGACGTTCTATCAGCGCCAGAAATCTTCGAATCGAGTAAACAAAAGCAACTTAGAAGAAAACTCATCCCAATGTTAATTGGCAAATGTCCAGACATGCGAGTCTTCTTCGGCTTTTCTCTTTCTTTCTTTTTCCTCCTCTTCCTCCTCTCCTCCCGCCCTCTATCTTTGTTAAGGGACTTACGATTCGTAGTGACTCGATATTGCGGAGGTAATTGATGTTGTTGTTGCTGCTGCTGCTGCTGTTGTTGCTGCTGCTGTTGCTGCTGCTGCTGCTGTTGTTGCTGCTGATGGTGATGATGGTGGCCAAGGTGGCCGATATTCACGGTAAGCTGAGGATGCGTCAGATTTAAGTGGGGAGACGGCGATGGCGGTGGCGGTGGATGAACGGGATGGCCCGGCTGTGGATTCTGAGGATGCGACGCCTGAAGATGGTGATGACCATGAGGACCGCCACAGTGTGGCAGCAGACAATGCATCGGTCCTAAGGCACCGACGGCGACACCCACCGCGCTCTCCTTCTGGACGCCATATCGCGAAACCATCTTTCCGATGCGAGGCAGCAGCTCGTCGCTGCTGGCGGCTTTTCCTTTACCCGAGCGCAGCAACAATCTTGTCTCTTCACCGCTTCCTCCTCTTTTTTCTCCTTCCTTTTTCCCGTTTTGTTGACACTCGCTCTTTCTCTCTCTCTCTCTCACACACACAGGAGGATAGATTTAAAAACCGTGTCTCTTCGATGAGGCTTGACCGAGCATGTTTACATAATGGCAAATGCGGTGAGACGAGTTCGCGATCATCGTCGCAAATCGCGGGAATCCGATGTTGTTTCGTTACGAATTTTTTTTTTTTCGCAAATTCCACCTGTCGCGCGACGTATTCCCCACCTTTCTCTTTCTTCCTTCTTGAAAAAAGAAGTATCGTTTCTCTTTTTCTCTCCGTTTACCAATTTATCAATTTCGCTATCCGTCAACTTATCAATCGGCTAAGGCGCGCCATGACATCCTTGGTCTTCCTCCTACTCCTCGTCGTCGTCCGTCTGAAATTTTCTCCTCCCTCGATGAGTAATGACTCTCGCCGCGCGCTTTTTCACGAACGACATTAAGCGTTTCTTTTTTTCGATCGAGACGCGTGAGAATGTGTTTTTTTTTTGTCTCGCGTTTTCTCGCGTGAGATCTCTCGCTTCCACTAAAAAGAATACACCAAACACACGTGGCTGTCGTCGTGAGCGATCGACATTTTTAACGCGTCACACATCCATGAGAGCGCGAGTCGTCGTCGTCGCGCGCACGTCGTCGTCTGGCTGGTTCGCGTTGGTTAGCAAGACGATGCGAACGAGTAACCAAGGATGTTGTACGCCGAGACGGCAGACTGTCAAAAGTCTGTTGTCGTCGCGTGCACGTCGCTTGTGTACTCTTCCAGACCACATAGGTGGCGGAACGGATTCCGTCGTGGAGGACGGACGGAGAGAGTACCGCGGCTCGTCCAAAATCGATATTTAAGGCTCGACCGGCGTTGTCTCTCTCTCGCTCTCTCGCTCGGCGGTTGTGTCGCCCACTCGCCTGGTACGAGCAAACCCGACGACGTCGTTCGCGTCCTCGCCACGCACGGACAGAACCGATATTTTGGCATACACGGGAGAGCAGATCCCCCCGCGCTCGGCTATTTTGGCCTTTTTTTTCTACACCGACCTCGCGAATCGCGCAACTCACAAACTCCTCGCCCCGAGAGGAACGGCGAGGCTGGTTACAACTGTTGTCTCGCACTGCGCGAGAGACGATCGGGTGCGTTCGGAACGTGCGCCGAAAAGTACCGAGCGCGCCAATTCTCGCCTAAGTGCGCGTATCTATCTCCGTCGTGCGTTTCGCGACGAGCATAGAGCATAGGGGGAGGGTGGGGAAAGGGGGAAGAGAGAAAGAAAAGAAATGGAGAAAAAAAATCAACAGTACACACCAATTTGAGTGATTTGTTTCGACGAGCGAACGTTTGGACGCGCACCTTTGTGTGCGCTCACACTCGCGTCACACGGGACACACAGACGCGGCGTGAATATTCACCCACACGATGATACAATGCCATTATAGGCTGCGACACACACTGCTGATAGTGAGTGTTGTCAAGCGTCCTGGCATTCGCGGCGCTTCTGAGCGCTTTTCGTGTTGCACTCACTTGCACACTCTAACTCTGTCCTGAGTAACAACTGTGTTTGTTCTCTTGGAATTCCTGTGAAATTTCCCCGATTCTCCAATCGGGTTGATACTCGAATCGAGAACTAATCAACTAAGGGCGATGACAGATCGTACACGATTGCATCCCTTCCCCGAGGGACGCGACGTTGGACTGACGCAGGCCAGTCCTCTTTCGCCTACCAACGAATCAAAATCGCATTACCCGAGCGCCATCTTTCCACGCGTTTTCCCAACTACAATCACTCGCTCAGGAATGTACACGGTCGAACACATCAATGGGAGAGGAAGATCTTTATGCGCGCGCGATTTGCGGTCTACGGACAATTTTCATATTTCAAGAGCTGCGTTTTTTTTTAATGCTTCAGATATTAATTGTTAAAGAGAAAAATGAGTTATGTATTCGATCGAAATGAATAACACCGAAATGTATGAAACATGAAGGCGTTTAAAGCATTAGAAAAAAATTAAAAGAACGTACAAAATCAAAAAACGTACAAAAGAGAAGTCGGGTATGTATGTTAAAAATGAAAATTCTTTTTCCTCATTGTTTCCTAACAATAAGTTTTTGTATAACGACAGTTGGAACAAACATTACGTTTTCCTGGACAGCTATTATGTAATTTTCTGAATGGAGAAAGAAAGAGAGAGAAACATTTCGTTTCGCACAATTTATCTTTTCAATTTTTTGTCCCAGTGAACATTTTTTTTTTTTTTATCCGACAACAAAGAAGAGAGACGAAGGACTGGATCGAATCACGTTAAAAAAAATTTACAATAGTCATTCACGTTTTTGCAGCTGGGTTACATAAAACAAATTTTTGCAGGTTTTTCAGTCTTTTTTAAAAAAGTTGACATTGTCCCTTTTATTGTCTCATCGGAATTTAATGATATTCTTGGATTCAAGATAAAATTCTCGTTTAACAATACAAAATATCTCAAGTGTGTTTCAAAAGAAAAGAGATGTCATTTATTTTCACTTACAATCGTTTGACTAAATTTTCGAATTTCCTCTCTCTTTGACACACACAAAGCATCGTTTGTTAAAGATATTCCAAGTATATATTCTCATACGAAAAAAAAACTAGGAAAAGAAAATAAAAACAGAAAAATTATAAGTATTCGCCATCTTTTCGTCGTCATTACATCCTCAAGTGTTTCTTTTATTCCAACGACTAAAATATATATGAAATCGATACACAGTACTTACACATATCTATATAGATTTCGTATCGCTTTTAACACATTGCAGACGGATGACGAGATATCTCGCGTTTGACATTCCAGACGTCAGAGGCCGTTGACGAGATATCTCGCATATTTGTTGAAATTAAATACTTAAATTGCTGACCACCGAGTTGGTGGTACAAAAATAGTTAGCAATAAAAATTTCTGTGGTCCGCAATGTCGTGAGATGAAGAAAAAAATTAATTTGTACGAAGGTAACTTTTTTTTTTTTTAAAAAAAAAGGTCAAATTTATTCAAATGCAATTTTTTTTCAATTGCGCTAATTTCGCAAAGCAACTTCTCAGATTAGATGGAACAGATTTCGTAATGAATGTGCACTGTCGAATATAGAACAAGAGAAGAGAGAGAAAGAGAGTGAGAGAAAAACAATATAGACAACTCTCTTTTAGGGGCAGTACCGTAACGCGAAAGTGCAAGTAGACTCGCGATTTTCGCAATTTACGCGCGATTTACGAAAATGAACGGAGTGCGGGCGTATGCTCTTGCGCACGTAATAAGTACGTGCGGACGAAGGACGCGCAAGGGCGTGAAAAGGCGTAAACGTGACGAAAGGAGATGTCGCAGCATCGCGATAGCGATGAAGAATCGGTGTCGCAAAACGGGGAAAAAAAAAAGATTCAGGGGGAAATCGCGTGGGTTAGAACCTAACCCAGTTTCGCCAGTGCACCAGGCCAAGCTGCAGAGCACCAACCGATCGATACCTATATGCACCCGGTGCTTCTGCCCACACAGCCTAGATTCGCTGCCTCTAGTATATACGGATAGGTGCGAAAAGGGGCGTAAGAGGAAGATCGCATGACCCGCATGACCCATATTACGGAAGAGAGGAAAAGTCATATCTTTCATCTCGCCAATCATCTCCTCTCTCGCGCCTACGTCTGGTCGATTCGCTAGTTACATTGACTCACGCGCGTACATGTATTACGTTTTTATCATCGGACTTGATATGCACTTGAACATACACTTGAGTTGCAGATTCCTTTCTGGAGAAAGACCAACCGTTAAATTTATTCAGTGCACTGGGAACAGTGTGTGAAGTGAAACGCCGAAATTGCTTAAAAGCGTGTTAAAGAATAAGAAGTTGTAAAGCTCTCTCTCTCTCTCTCTTTCTGAAGAAGACAGCAGGCAGAAAACACAATATATAACAGAGTGTCTATTTTTTCCAAGTATTTTTCTAAGAATCTTTTTTTTTTCACTTTTGTTGCACGTGCTGTCCTCGTAACGTTCGTTAAACTGACGTCGCCTTTGAAATGAAAAACTTGCTTTTCCATTCTCAGTGAAAGATTTTACAGACGTGTCCAGAACCTGTTCAGAAAATTTTTTCGAAAAGGCAAATTTTTAACGGAGATTATAAATGGATTTTTGGGAAACTGAAATAACAATAGAACAAAAATTGAAATAACAATAGAATTCTTTTCTGTGAGACAAACGATCACAAAAGGAAAAATGGCAAACCAAAGAAGAAGAGAAAAGAATAGGCATGTGACTTTCAGAAGCTTTTGACAAATGCAAATCGAAGATTTCAATCAGTTTAGTCTCGCCATGAAAATTTACAGCCACTGCAAATCGTATAATAATAATAATAATAATAATAATAATAATAATAATAACTTGCGAGATGTCAGAAATTCTCGAACGCGGTCTCATTCTGAAGAAAATTTTTTAATTCAAATCTGAGATTTGTCGCGTTGAATTTTCAATTAGTGTCAATAATTAGTGTCACAATTATCACGCGAAGTATTTTATCACCTCGCGACACTTCGAGTTATCGCCGGAAACAGAAGAAAAAGGGGAAATAGTACTGTTTACGGGAGAGCCGTAAAAGTTGTTTTCTTTTTCCAGCATGGATCTTGGAGTCTCCGAGCCGTTGACCTTGGAAAGGTAACATGGAAACCTCGTGGTGTGTCGAGAGCGGCAGCGAGATATCTCTTCCTCTCTCAGTCTACGTATAGATTAACAGTTTGCAAAAAAGAGAGAAAGAGAGAAAGAAACGAGAGAAGAAAAAAGCAGACTCACGAAAGAGAGAGGAAGATAGCACGCATCCGACAGACGTCTGGATGGGAGACAGAGAGTCTACGCAAAGGGAGGTCGATATTTAGCGGCCTTCTCTCCCTCACTCTTCCTCCCCCGGGCAACGACCCTACCCACCCTCAATTGTACGCTGGTTGCAGACCTCGTTCGCAATCTCTCTCTTTCTCCTTCTCTCTCCTCACCACCACCCTCGCTCGCCTTGCGCCACGAACGTGCGTTATATATCGTGTGTTAGCCCTCAAATGACCTCGAACAAATTTCCAACCCCCGCCGAACCGTGGTCATGAACGCCGAGCAACGACCGCGCCTCTCTCTCTTTCTCTCTCTAGATGACGTATGAGTTCTCTCCCTTTATATTTCGCGTCCAGTCTGAAACGTCTCGTCTCGTCTCACGCCGTCAGTGTGCACGGTGTGTACACGTGAACTTGACTGAAATATTTAATGTGACTGTGTTAAGGCACTAGACACGCGATTTTCTATTGTTGTCGCGACTCCGTCTTTTTTAATCGTTACACGTGCGCTCACGTGTATTTTCCGCGACTGAATAATCATCGCGCGACCGACGTTAGAAATGACTGACGGTCTCAGCCGTTTGTTGAAAATCGCAACTGTATCGTTACAGAATGTAAATTCATGTACAGAAAAACCGCACGAGCCGACGAAGCGAGCTTATTTAGCCGAGTTGTGTGACGCACGTATAGGGCTTCCAAATGGTATCCGGATATTCGAGATTGATTTCGATTCCGATAATCCGCACTCGGAATATTCCAAGGATAATCCGGATAATGTTACAAAATCCCAGGTTGCAAATTTAGATTATTCTCCGGATTTGTCGCGCACGTTTCACAATTCATCCTTTACATCTCATCATCGACAATGTCTATTTACTCGTCGTTACCAAAAGGCGCTCATCTGATGTTTACGTATCTAATGCGTCAAGTGTACACGCGTACACAACATGTCTGTACTAGACAATTTTCCCGCGGGCTTTCTTCTTCTTTCGAAAACAGTCCACGAATGTCCGCGCATCGAATTCGATACTGTTCGGACATCGTCTCGAATCCGGAGCGTCAAATTTTTATAAATTTATCCGCTGCCCAGACACATACTCCGGATAGAAATAATCTCCTGATACAAAGCAATTCGTTAGAAACCGAGTTTCTCGTACATTATATTTATATAACAAAGAACAATGTGTAGAAAGAGTGAGAGAGAGAGACGTTTGCAATTCTTGAAGAGATGAACGTAGGTAGAGACGCGCGCGGCGCGCTACCCTGCTGAGAGTTAAGAAACTAATCTCGAGGAACTCTGTCGATAAGCGAGAGATCTCTCGTAGGAAGAAAATAGCCGGGGCGCGAGACAACAATCGCGTGTTTCTTCGATAATATATAAACAATTAAACAGAATAAAAACCGAGCGATATCATTGACATGGTGGCTAATAATGTACACATGTTACTATCATTTGATAAATCTTCAAAATGAGTAATTTTTATGCGCACTTTCTTTTTTCTCCTCGAGCAAGATCTATGAATATAAATAAACTTTTTTTATACATACATATGTATTTAAAAAACATCTGCACCGATTGGACTCGAGCAAATACGGTGCACGTAACAAAACGAAGAGGAACTAACGAGTGTACACGTTGAGCTCCGTCTTTACTGACTCGTGGTCAGTAAAAACACGTGGTGCTGGTGGTTTTTGTAAAATTATTTCATTGTGCAAAAGTCACAAAACACGTAGCGACAATTCGTTTCGATTTTTTGTAATATTGAACAATTTTTACTAAAATAAGTTAATTTCTTTAAAAGATCAAACGTAAGTAAAAAAAAAAAAAATCAAACTGTTTTACATTCTACGGATTCTACCGAT